CGTTCGAATTAAGAGGTCAAACTGCTGACTTAAAAATCGATGGGCAAAGCAATTCCGGTTTCAAGCCGATTTTTAGAACATTGACCCAAGGTTCAAAGTATCAAAATGCAAAGAATGTTACAAAAGCAATTTTAAAACATATATTACAATAAGTTTTGAATATGTATGGTGGAAAAATTAAAATGTGCATGAATGCAATAGGAAATTTAAACAAATCCTACAAAATACTAATAACAATAAATATAAGTTTTAGATGATGAATAAATAAAATATTTAATCATAAAGCAGAACATACTTTAATAGTTTATCTTAGGACAAAATTGGTAATCATTGAAAAATGATGGAAAAATTAAAGTATGTATGTATAAACCTTAATTAATTATCAGAAAATTAATGTAATCTATTTTAATATTTATAAATAAATAAATTTTAATAATCAATTTTAACACTTATTGATGAAGACTCCCTAAAAAAAACTTAAAGCTAAGAGGAAAAATGAAGATCAAGCAAAATTATAAGGATGACTAGCTAGGATTCAGAAAAAAAAAAAGACAAAGGAGAGTCATTAATTTTTCCTATAAACAAAAGATTGGTGGATCGAGATAAATAGTGCCTTTCCAAGTTCAACGTAATTCATGACTTAAGTAGAACCATTGCTTAATAGAATAACTATATGAAATCACGGACTAAGAAGAATGAAAAAGCAGGTTTGATAAACTAAAAGTGGCCATCATTTATTAAAAAAGAAATGGTGAGAGTCAGGTTCATATCTGTTCCACACTCTCCTAAGACCCGTATACATAGTGTTGGGACCAGCTTAGCTAGCGTTATTTGACTTCAATGAGTCAGTAGAGTAATTGCTTGGACGGATATCAATTCAAGGTTAAATATAAACTTTGAAGAAAGCGAGTGATTGAAGATTGTTGGAAAGGCGAAGAAAAAAGTTGTGGTGGAAAACAATGCAAGGTCGACTGAATCATCTTTAGTAGGCCTATAACTAAGGGTTTTCTTTTTTTTTTTTTCTTAATTTTAAATTGTTTTCTTTGCGCATTGCACATTTTAAAGGTTAATTAAGAGAATGATAGTATATGATACATCATATGATCTAATTTGTAGTCCATCTACACACAATGCAGAATCAGCCCCCTCCTATCAAGTGGATCCCACCTTTTCCTAGGGCGGTCAAAGATGAGACCAAATCAGCCCCCCACAATGTCCCACAGCACACCTCCACGGTGTATTGGGAATATCTCTTCGTGATAATACCAAAAATGATAATATTATCATTGGGAGATGTTTTCAATACACCGTGGGGATGTGTTGTGAGACGTTGTGGTGGGTTGATTTGAACTCATCAAAGACATCGAGACTGGATTCAGTCCTCACAAAATGTGCTTTTACATCGTTGAATATCCTTTTACTTTCATTTATAGGGAGATGTTTCTAATGCACAGTTGCAAAAGGTTGTAAACATAGTGTGAGATCAGTTTTATGAGGACTGAATCCAAATTTGAAGACATCAGAGTTGCATGAACTCTTGATTTTATTATTTGCAATTGTTATGCTTCACCTTTCATACAACGCCAAAAGCTAGGAAATGCTTTCAATAAAGCCCATTACAGTCTTTTATGTTTTCTTCTTTGGTGAAAGGCAGTTCATTATATTATCACTCTTATTCAAGGTTTTTAAAACCGAACCAGATAATGAACCAGTTAGGGGTCTGGTTCTCGGGTTGAATGGTCCGACCTATTTGAACCGAGCAGACAGCTCGTTCTGACAAAAAATAAAAAATGGCCAAACTGTTGGACGGTTCGAACAATTCGACCACCCGGGTCAGCGGTTTATTGACCAAATCAATGGTTTTTGACAAAATAACGGTTCTGGGGTAAAACAGAACCGATCACCTAATCGATTCCCAGTTTTTCTGGTCCAATAGTCTGGTCCGGTCCGATTTTAAAAACCATGCTCTTACTAACAAACAGTTCCCACATCCCTACCTATACAATATTATTGCCATGTAAAGGAGATGTTCCCAATGTACAGCTGTAATGTTGTGTGGGTAGGGATGTAAAACAGCTTGTGGGTAGTAGATCCAAACCTCATTATTAGAATTCACGAACTGAGTTAGTTTCATGGGGCTCGTAGTAGCAACATTTGTGTGGTTTAGAAGTTAGAAGAATCAGAACCCACAAGAGATTTGATAAATCAATTTTCCTACCGTGGACTCCCATTGGATAACCAAATTATAATGGGAGAATTATGGATACCCCTAGTGTCAGCATTTATAGGTTCAAAGTATATTTGGGGTAGGTGCCAGCTCGAAATTAATATCAATTCACGGGCGCATATAAGTGCATAGAATATGGTTTTTGAACATTTTGAATGTTTATAACTATACAGTAAGAATCAGAAATCTGCATTGGATGTATCCGTACTTCTCCAAATTATAATCATTTTTTTTTATTTTTAAGTTGAATTGTGGCTAAAATCCAGTTGAAAGTCGGGGCCTTCAAAAAAAAAAAAAGTTGAAAGTCGGGAACATGTTTGAAGCTGTTACCAGTTACCACTCTCGTCCTTGCGTTTTGTGTTACCGATTTTTTTTCTCATGTCACATTTGTCCTTGGATTAATTTGGGAAGTGGCCTAAAAATTTATCCAAATTAAGGGAAATACACTTTCTATGAGCCCTAAAGTTCCATGCAAAAAATGCAGATAAATTAGTAAATAAAACTTATTAAAATTCCTAAACTTGTGATAAATTTAATAAACAATATCGTGCGTATGTACACATAACATATTGTTTTTTTTTTCTATTTCTATTTCAATTTGAATGCAACTTGTCTCCAAGCTGAAATTTTTAAGGGATTTTCATCGAGTCTCGTGCATTATATGTTCTACGTGTTTTGATATTCCAAAATTATATGAAGTGTTGTTGTAATGGCTGGTTCACCATAGCTAACTTCATATGTAAAAGGTTATATGATGAAAATCTTTATTACAATTGTATCTACGACTGAAAGTGATATATCAATTCAAATATTTATCTATAGAATCATCTTTAATTGATGATAACATAATTGAATTTATGAACAATACTTGTCATTTTTAGTATTTCATGTAATATTGTTTCATTCAAATTCCCAACACAATTTCATTTGCATTGATACAAATGTATGGGATAAATCGGAAGAATGTAAGTTTTAATACACTTTTGCTTCAAGTTTTATTTTATATGGCCCTATTCGCTTTTTGGTAAACACTTATTTGGGTAAGTGCATTTATCCATATTCTTTTATTTCTTATGTAAATAAGCTAATGACCATTTTAATCATAAAAATGTATTATTAAAAGAGGTATTTTTGTCCCATTTCAATGTTGACAACTTTTTCCCTAGGTGGAAAAGTTATTTACTCACCTGGGATATGGGTATCATTTACTCGGGTAAGTAATACCCAGGAAAGTAAACTTTCAGTGGGCCTTGCAGAAATCTGAAAAAATAATATGAGATTCTTGGTCAATGGGAACCAAAATCCCATTGACCAACTTTCCTCCCTCTCAAAATCCAAAAAAAGAACTCCCCCTATATTGCTTCAATCTTTATTTTATTTCATTTACATTGGCAAACAATTAAAACGAACGGGCCCTAAATTTTAAAATAAAAAAAAAAATTGCATTCTCCCATAGTTTGCGGTTTGCACCAGTGTACAGTTTGCCATATTTCTTATTCCTAATCCCTACTCCCTTCCAGGTTGCAGCTGGTGTAATGGATTGGATTGGATTCAACGCCTTACCTAACTTGACCATGAAACTAACCCAGTCTGACCCGTGAATTGTGTGGGGTAGGACGGGCCGTGAGGTATGGTGGGCTATGCTTACGCAGCCGGCACTACATACATTATCCAAACACTTTAGAAAACGCCAACCGTTCTTTTCACTTTCGAGTCCACTTGAAAGGATTTCCATGGTTGGTGATGAAAGGAAGGTCGTCGGATTGAAGTGTGGTAAATTCCAATCCGATGTGACAGCCCAAACTAGAGAGGGGAGGTTGATTGGCTTCGGTGAACCCCAACTTCTCACCGTTGGATCATAATTTTTGATGGCCTTGGTCTTTGGAGATAAGAACACCAGCAGATGCTTTGACTTTCAACTTTATTTTTTTAAATAAGCTGCTGAGTGCGGAGTGCGGAGTGCAGTGGTGGACCTTTCTACCTGATTAATTCCCTTTATTTTATTCAATTCTTTGTTTTATTGATTAAGAAAAAAATTAAAATAAAAAAGATGAACCACATTCAAACGTAGCGTTGCTTATTTTGACCAAATCTTCAAAATTCTTCTATGCGTTGGAGAAGAAGAAATGAGAGAGAGAAGAAGAAGAAGAGACAAGAGGCAAAAAGCTTCGTTATTGGCTGTTGGTGTTCTGGAAACCCACACCGAGCGTGACCGATACGTCGATATTTTCAAGAATACAGAGAATCGCGATATATCGGCCATATAATAATAATATTCATTTTCTTTTTTGTGGTAATTGACATAATCTCCACTTATACCAGTGGAATTCTGAAGATGAAGAATGAAGGTAACGCTTGAATCGGAGATCGTTCGAACCCTGTTCGAATAGTCTTTACAGCCTTTCATCGGAAACATCTTCATACTTCTTCTGTGCTTTATGATATTCCCAATACAAGGTTATAATGGCTGTTCGAACGCATTTTGCACTGACTAAATTCGGTTTCTGCCGGTCGCTAGTTGAAGAACACGGATTGCATGATAGGCTTAAGCCTAGCCTATGGCAAGATTAGGAATCTTTTCCCGGTCACCACGGTCAATGCGCTTCAGTAGACTGACTGACGCGTGTCAGCTGTACCACTAAGGCGGTTAGATATTATAGATGGTAGTGGGTCCGGCGAATTTAATTTGCATTTAGATTTCATTTGGCTTTGATTTGAATTTCATTAGTGGGGGAAGCCAGAGACAGAAAGAGACTGCTTCGTTGCTTCTCTCGCCTTTTTGACCGAGGCGAAGCAGAGGGGAAGAGGATACTCGCTTTCCTCTCTTCTTCTTCGTATCTCGTCTCTCCCTCGGTGCAGATAAAAGGGAGCCGAAATCAAGACTTGTTTCGTAGCTCGATCGATTGCTTCCGATATACTCCTACCCTAACCTCTATATCTCTGGAGGTGCGTTCCTCTTTTCTCTTTTATTTCTCTCCCTTCTTTCTTCTTTTCAGAATACAGATCGTAGATTTATCATTCTTGAATCTCTAATTAGCTGTGATTCTGATTCCTGAGAGCTGTAGGTAGATCTTAGACCGTATTTTAAGCGCCTCTTCTTTCTTGTTGATTTTTCAGAGACTTTTCCTGAGCTTTTGTTGTTGTTTAATTTCTGAAGCTATTATGATTTTATGTTAGAAGTTGGTATTCTAATGTTTCTAGAAGACTAATAATCCTAGACCTAGTCTTGTTCTCATATGTAACTAGTATTTTTGAACCAATTCCTGATCTTTTTTTTTTCCTTTTCTGTTAAGGAACCTATATCCCTAAAAAGTAGAACCCTAAAGGCTGCTTCTTTATTTTCCCCTTGTGTGTAATTGCGTGTATGCTTGTTTGAACTGTAATTTATATTCGAGGGCAGGCTTGAATTTGGCTATCTTCTTATTGCAGAAAGAGAGGGTTTGTTTGCACGAATAAGGAGAATTAAGACTGTTTCATGTGCAGTGGTCCGAAGAGGAAACTATCTCCGGCAGATTTCGTCATGGAGGGCGAATTCCAGAAGCCAAAGGAGGGTGTGAACTGTAACCTTTCGGTTTTGCTCGAATTAGCGGCATCAGATGATCTGATCTCCTTCAGGAGTTTAGTGGAAGGAGAGGGTTTGGATATTGACGAGTCGAGTTCCTGGTATGGGAGAGCGATCGGGTCAAAGAAGATGGGGTTTGTGGAGAGAACACCCCTTATGATTGCGGCCTTGTTCGGGAGCACGGAGGTGTTGACCTATATCCTCTCGACTGGGAAGGTTGATGTCAACAGGGCCTGTGGGTCGGACGGAGCAACCGCCCTCCACTGTTCTGCTGCAGGGGGATCTGCTTCCTCTATTGGGATTGTCAAGCTTTTGCTTGATGCTTCGTCTGACGCTAACTCTGTTGATGCTAATGGTAATCGACCTGGGGACTTGGTTCCTCCAGTTTTGAAGTCGTGCAATTCGAGGAAGAAAACACTAGAGATGATGTTGAACGGCTGCAGTTGCACAGGGGAAGGACGGATTTCTCCCGATCTAACTATGAACCAAACGGAGGAACAGCCAGAGCAGTTGTTGATGCCACAGGCCTCGAAAGATTCTAGTGAGAAAAAGGAATATCCATTTGATCCCTCGCTTCCCGATATTAAGAATGGGATCTATGGGACAGATGAATTCAGGATGTACACATTCAAGGTGAAGCCTTGTTCCAGGGCATATTCCCATGACTGGACAGAGTGTCCATTTGTCCACCCAGGGGAGAATGCTAGACGCCGTGACCCAAGGAAGTATAACTATAGTTGTGTTCCATGCCCTGAATTCCGGAAGGGGACGTGCAGGCAGGGGGATACCTGTGAATATGCACATGGTGTGTTTGAGTGCTGGCTTCACCCAGCACAGTACAGGACCCGTCTCTGCAAGGATGAGACCAGGTGCACACGAAGGGTTTGTTTCTTTGCACACAAGCCTGAAGAGCTACGCCCTTTATATGCTTCAACTGGCTCAGCTGTTCCATCGCCTAGATCATCTTCTGCCAACATTTCTTCACTTGACATGGCGCCAATGAGCCCAGTTGCCCTTGGTTCATCATCTCTGCTTATGCTCTCTACATCTACACCACCCATGTCGCCCTCTGTGGCCCCTTCTTCTCCTATTGGGGGAGCTTTGTGGCAGAACCAGCCTGGCCTTGCCCCTCCTACACTGCAGCTTCCAGGTAGCAGGTTGAAGACCACACTAAGTGCCAGGGATATGGATTTAGACATGGAATTGCTTGGGCTGGATCGTCATCACCAACAGCAGCAGTTGATGGATGAGATCTCCAATCTCTCTACCCAGTCCAGCTGGACCTTGGCCACTGCTGCAGCCCTTGCTGCCTCATCTGGTGGTCGAACGGGGGAGTACAGTCAGCTTGGTGGAGTGATGCCTACTAACCTTGATGATGTTTTTGGATCCGTTGATACATCAGTGCTGTCTCAATTGCAGGGGCTCTCACTGAGTGCTGCAGCATCCCAGTTGCAATCTCCGACTGGATTCCATATACGCGAAAGCATTAACCAGAAGCTCCTCCCTAGTTATTCGACAAGCCTCTCTTCCTCTCCAGCGAGGACATCAACATCGTTTGGACTTGATCCCTCTGGTTCAGCGGCTGCAGCAGTAATGAATTTGAGGTCAACTGCCTTCTCAAAGCGGAGTCGGAGCTTCATTGACCGTAGTCCAGTGAATCGCCTCTCTGGGCTTCCTTCTATTGCTACCTCTGCTACTGCGACATCTTCTACACTTTCTGATTGGGGCTCCCCTGATGGGAAATTGGACTGGGGCATTCGAGGAGAAGAACTGAACAAGCTGAGGAAATCAGCATCTTTTGGGTTCAGAAGCAGTAACGGCAATATGGGCCCAGCTAATTCCCCAATGACGGCAAATGTTGATGAGCCAGATGTGTCATGGGTGCAGTCTCTGGTGAAGGATGTTCCATCCGTGGGGACTGGACAATTTGCTGCGGGACCGCAGCAATATCAGTTGAATAGCGGGGTTTCAGAGATGGTTGCTCCATGGGTGGAGCAGTTCTACATGGAGCAGGAGCAGATGGTGGCTTAAGCAAGATGACGCCACCTCTGTGATTCTTTAAGCTAACCAGTTCTTTGGCCATTTTTTGATTGATATTAAATATTCATTTTATGCGTAGGGGAATTCAGAGAGCAAAGCTGAAAAGCAAAAAGTTAAAAACACAATTTAGGTAGGAATAGATGTCATTTCGTGTATGAGATGGGTTTGCTAGTAACACAGCAAGAGGGTTTAGGTGGAAGAAAGAAACAAGTTCAGTTCTAATTTTTTTTTTCTTGTGATATTTTTTATAGATTAAGGGATCAAAGAAGTTGAAGAGCGGAGAGAAAAGAGGTCTTTTTCTTGTAAGACCAATGGGTGACAGATAATGGAATGTAGGAAATGAGGTCGGAAGGCTTCCAATTATTTGAATTGCTGATATATGGGCGGTTGTATGATACATGTATTTAGTCTCGAATTCATGAAAGTTCGTAAGAATAGATCGTATTCATTTCCAATTGTGGTTGTATTGTCTTTTAATTATCAACTGAATTGCTTTGTTTCCCTGCTAATTAAGAAAGCATGTTTATCTAATGGGGTGTTTGACAATGTGATTATGCGAATTTTTGTTTTTCTAAAGCAAAAACAGCCAGCCAATTCAAATTACTGTATGAAAATTGCCATCGCGCTGATAACAAGGATCTTGTATAGGGGCAGGTATCCACCGGGTAGCGTAGAAATTGTAAGGCAGTGCATAAATTAGTAAGACTCCTAACTTCACACGTTAGGTCGAATGGTTTTGGCAACAAATCTTCTACCCACACAACTGCTTTGGCAATCGGTTTTGAAGATAGCAATCTGATTGTCTGGGTTGAACAGTTCTCAACAGTTAACATTTGTATATCTCATCTTACCATTAGATTGGAATGCTAGGGTAAGATGGATATAAATACTATATACTCGTGAGATGGGAGCCAAGAATGAGAAAGGAGTTGTTGACTTGTTGGCTGAGAGAAGGAAAGAAGGAAAGAAAGAAAGGAAAAAGAAATTTTGGCTGAAGATGGATATAAATACTACTATATTACCTTTGTTTGAAATAAGTGTTTTTTCATCAAATGTTCATAAGTGCTTATTAGATTAATTACTTGTTTTAAGTACTTATTTTTCAAGTAAGCACTCCCAAACTTGGCTGAAGAGGAAGAAAAGAAGGTAGAGGTGAGGGTGACTTACAATGGCGACAACAAAAGTGATGGTGCTCCAAGTGACGATAATGAGTCAATGATAGTAGATTTGAGATCTCTCTCAAATCTCTCTTACTGATCTCAATAATCGAAGATCTGATAAATCTTTCTCGGATCTCTCTCTCTCTCTCTGATCTCAGAGATCTGAGAGGTCTCCGATCTCTCTATGTTTTCTCTTGTTTGATCTCTTCTCCTATTTTTTAGGGGAAAATCTATGATACAGAAAAGATATGGTATGGAGAGAGTTTTGACCAATCAAAAGCCACCCATGAATTTTGATAAATAACACCTTATTTGCAACCACATTTATGGTTTCAATTTATTGGTCAATTGTTTTTTCGAATATCATATATTTTCCATATCATAATTTAGGGATTTTAATTTTTTGAACATTATAAATAATTTTTATTAAACCGCAAACTTTTTTCTGAATCAAACGATACAATGGCCAGATCATTCAGATGAACAATTCACTGACCAATGCAACGGTTTTTTGACAAAATGATGGTCTAAGATTAAAACGAAACTGGTACCAATGGTCCAATTGTCTGGTCAAACAGTGGTTTTAAAACCGTGCCTACTCATATATCACCAACCATTTCACCACTACTTAACTTGCCATCAAAACAAGCATAGAGAGTAGAGACATGTTTAGCACCAACATACAGATATCAAAGCCCTTTTACAAGTAACTGATTAACACTAGTTTACCCACAAGTCTACCCCTAGTTCCATGATTTTCAACACCTAATAAATCTCTCATTACCATTATTACCCCTTTGGGCCCTAACGAACCACTTATTCAGATACCTATAGACATATGGACTATTTAGATCACCAGTACAGTAGGGTGAGTAGGACCTATGCACTATCAATGTGGCAATTTCTACACCTTAACACAGTCATCAATTTCAGCAAGTCTGGACTCGAGTGGATGATCTTTTTTCACGGTGGACAATAAGCCACCTTTTTCATGTTTTGAAAAATTTTTAAATTAATGTAAGGTGACGTGGTTTTAATATCCACCGTGAGTAAACGCGGTCTTAGACGAGGATTTGAATTGCGAGACCGGATCTGCTCTTCACACATGGTGTCTCACATGGACCTCACAGGTACATTCCACCGTGTATTGGAAACATCTTTCATACTTATGTGTTATTATTTATGAGAGATTTTCTCAATGCACGGTGGGATGTGCCTATGAGGTCATTGTGAGGCGCCCTATGTGAGGAGCAGATCTCAATTCGTGAATTGCGATGTAACACTTAAACTCTGAAGTGAAGAGTGGTTGTGTTTGCGTGGGGCTTGTATATGGTCATTGATTAGTGGATTGATGGCTTGGATTTGGTCGATGGTCGTCAAATTGCCAATGACCAATCGGAACATCAACATAATTGGATTATCATTTAGGGGAAATTCCTAATTAGTACCCTGTACCTTGGGTTAGTGCCATTTTGGTCCCTGAACTTTAAAATACGATAATTTAGTATCCGTATTTTCAAAACGTGACAATCCAATACCTACTGTTAACCAGCCGTTAAGTGGTATTTGAAAAAACACAAATGCCCTTCAAGTGTCATATAATTCTCTTTATAACCATCTAAACGTTGACAAAAAATGAATAGTCCCAAATCCTTGCCTCTTCTATTCAAGAAAGTTAGATAAAAGAGGTAAGGATTTGGACTGTTCATTTTTTGTCAACATTTGGATGATTGATAAAGAGAATTAGATAACATTCGAAGGGCATTTATGCCTTTTCAAATACTACTTCAGTTGGTTAACGAAAGGTATTGGATTGTCATATTTTTCCAACCATGAACTAAACCCTTTTTTTTCCCTTTCTCGTACTTGGTAGTGCTTGACGTGAACTGCTTATGAAATAAAAACAGATGGATTACTGCTACAGGTCTGGCTTTACAACATTGCTCCTTGCTTTCACTAAATTAATTAATGGCAAGTTGGCAACCCATATAGTTAGCTCGTGAGTAGAGTATAATTCCGGACCTCCTGAAGTTGTAAAGAATTATGTTTCTCTGTGCACTAACATTAAATTACTTTGAGGAAGTCATCTATTCAACTTCAATATTAGACCAAATATTCTATTGGCAGCAGCCATTTAAATCATAACCCAAGTCATGACCCATAATTCTTAAGTTCTATCTTGAACTTTTTACAAGATCACTCTTTTTTTATCTCAAAATTTATAGCAAAGGGTGATTGCATTGGACAACAACACAACATAACACCCCAAGGACAATGTGAAAATATAGCATTCCTCAAGCGCAAAAAAAAAAAAAAAGCGCTGGATGAAAATTTACTTAGGAGACAAATAAAAAAAAAAAAAGAAAATAACCATAATTCATATAAAAAAGAGCACTTGATCTCACATTTATGCGATGATAGAATCTAGGAAGACTGACAAGTGTGAAAATATGGGCTAAAATTCCAAACATTAGGCCCATATCCAGCTGACCTCCCTAAGACCCCATATAGCCAGGACCATCACTTGGTATACTGCATACATTTATTTTCTTTTATGAAATTGTAAACTGGAGGTTTAATCATGCCTATCTATATGGATCTGATCTTTGTCCTGTTTCCTGTGACTTGATCCAGTGCTGGACCCAACCCCCTTAATTTTGATTCCAATGAAACCTTTAACCTCTTACCAAAGATAGAAAGGAAACAAAACATGTACACTGGGCGGTGAAATAAAGTTGTTCTCTCTCAAATGAGCAGAAAAATAAAAGTAACCTGCATTGGTCAAATACTTGAATGTGACAGCAGCTTGGGTTGGTTTGATTTTGGTTGGATTTAGTTGAATTTGATGGATTGGAGCTGATTGCAGGCAAAAGAGGGTTCCTTTTTTGATATGTAAGAGGTTAGGGGCTCTCTGTGTCTGTGTCTAGTTTAGCTAGTAAAATGTGAATCCCTTCCATGTTCACTTGGCCAAATGGAAGATCCATTTCTAGGAAGAAATAGTTGGGTAATTGCTCTCTTAGGCTTTCTGTATTTTTTTTCCTAAACAACATATCACATCATAGCCACATGATATGACAATAAGACAAATTGAGTTGATGCAATCAATAATGAAACATCAAAAGTTTATTGCGTTACATGATTTTTATTATAGCTCAGTTTGGAAAGAGCGCAAATACAAATATATACAGTACAAATACATACAAAATAGTATAAAATGCAAGGTTTTGTATTTGTACTCTTTCCAAACTAAGCCTATATGGAAAAATTGTGGTATATGGAAGAGAAGTGAGCCAGAAAAGTAGTAGTCATGGGATGACAATGATCAACCATATTTCCTTGCACTAATGGTAGCACAAGTATTTTTCATTCAAGCAAAACTTCACCTTGTGCCCCCAAAACTCAACTAAGGCCGAAAAAGAGTTGCTTCAATCAGTGCCTGTCTTATGATCCTATCCATCAGGCATTATGATTCAATTGTTTCACCAAAGGCTTGAGTTCATCAAACTGCACAACACAGAGACACAGAGTTGCCCGTCTCTCTGCCTGTTCTGGCCCTTGCACTTTACAGCTTACATCTTTGTCCTAGTGCTACAATGAATTGGCCTTTTCGCATATCTTCATGTACTGTCACTGTGTAATCCAGATTTGTTACATTTCCCATGCATGTTGGGCATTATTTTTCCCCTTGACTCAGAGACTAGGCTTGAAAACATTTTCACAAAATGTTTGAATCTTGCTATGAAGCTTAGCATTCCTTGCATCCGAACAGAAGATCCTTTTGACTTTTGAGGGTAAATAAGAGAAACAGAAAATTGAGAGAAAGTTCTGTTCTGTGTTTCCCCTTCCGCCCCAGATGCAGTTTGCAGGAGCAGAATTGGATTTGAATTCCATTGCTTCCCCATCATATATTCTATGTCTAAAACACAGAGTTCACAGGCTAAAATTCATTTTTTTTCCGCCAAGCTCAGCTATGGCAAAAATTAGACACAAACGACAAAATCTGGAACGTTGGGAAATTGACAATTGCCATTCCCCTTGCCACATCTGACTCAACCCTACTCCAACTGCAAGCTTGTAGCTGAAGTAAAGAGGAGAATTTTGAGTCATGGTTAGCATAGAAAATTTCCCTTATTTTTACCATGTTTGGCATTTTCCCCTGTTGCCCAGAAAAAGACGTGACATTCTACATTCGTTCGTTGTAATTAGAAATTTCTTCAAATCTTTTTACGCTTATACTCCAGGTCTACAACCTGGATTTTTTTTCTCTACTATTACAGGGCGCCATGGATTCTCAGGGAATTTAAGCTCACATTCTTAACGGTGGAGCAAGAAAAATACATATGCAGAAGAGACTTGGCAGAATTTATACACAATTATTCAGTCTCTTGAAATCATTTTAGGGCAGAATTCTTCAAAGAAGCCTAGAAAATTCGAATATAATCTCGCAGAGAAGTTGATCGAGAATTTGTATGCCAAATTCAATCCCGATCTCTTCTACTTCTTCCAACTTTGACATCTCCCTAGAAACCCAAATGGAGGACCTCATTTCTTTTTCAGCTAAATTGCTAATCACTCCCCACCACTCCAAGTACCCCTGATCATCATTCTTCCTTGTTTCCTCAGTTTTCACTTCAAAGGGACCTGATCCCCAATAATCTGAGCTCTTAATACAAGCCAAAGGTGGAGGAGATACACAGTCGGACTTTGCAAGCTCTGGCGTGAGGCTTCTTCTTGAATTTGAACCTCTTGGCTTCCATTCTTCTTCTGTTATAAAACATTTTAACAAAGGGAGAATGTTACAATTGGAAATGATTGAATTTGAAAACCTCACATAAGAAACTAACTTCGAATTTGTAAGGAAACTGAATTGAGGAGGCAAACCTGATAAAGGAGTTCCAGAATCGACTAAAAAATCACTGAGATCAAGAACAGAAACCGGGCTGGTATTTTCCGAGTCACATTGGGTTTCAATTTTCCTAGGCGTAGTTGCGGACTCACTCTTCTTCTTCTTAGTAAATTTTGCTTTTTCAGAAATTTCTTTGTGGTTATTAGGCTTTGTTTGACTTCCCGGCTTGGAGTTTGAGACTGCCTTTGGTTTTCGGTACACATCCTTCTTGTGAGGAGGCGTTGAAACCGGAATCTTGATGTCGTCAGAAATGCGAACCTTTCTTAAAGTCCTCCTATCGGATATCTTTCTCTCCACCTTCTTCTTTTCGTTATAAACCCTTTTTCTGCTCTCTTGATCTTCCTTCTTTGTTTTGTTCCTCTTCTCTGCTACCCTCTCTCTTTTGTTCTCCTTGTTGTTTTCTTTCTTCTCTGTTTTCCTCTGCTCCAATTCACTGAAACCCTTGTTAGATTTCCTTCCCTTAAACCTCATCTCATTAGTTTCTCTTACATTCTGAAAGCTGAGAAGAAAGAAATCTTCATTCTCTAGCTGTAAGAACGTCGGGGCTTCGCGAAACGACAGAGAAGTCATTACCCGTCGATGGCGCCCCCGTGGTAGGTCGAATTCTGGCCAGTATCCTGCATAGTTTACTGACCTACTTCGGCCAATCAAATCTGCGGTCTTCCCTGGAGGAACCCAAGTCAACTCCGGTAATGACTCAAGACCCATCAGCCTAGCGACTATACCTGGAATTGCTGCCGTTGGAGCCTCGGCCTTCTTCGAGGCCTGTTGCTGTTGGTGATCCGACTCAATGCAATCTGGCTCTTTAATGTGATCGGCAGGGCGAGTCGGGAGACCACCAGAACAGAGGAGACGACGGAAGATGCCTGAGAGACACCCATTAGTGGCATTGTGGGAATTACCCAACTTTGCATCAAAAGAAGGGGTAGATGATGACGAGGAGGAGGAAGAAACTCTCATGGTCAGAGTGTGAGAATAGAGTATAGAGAGTGAACGAGAGAAGTGGGTTATGTTTGTTATAGTTTAAATCACCACCAATAGTTCACTACCGCCACCACCACCATAACAAATTACCTTCAACAATTACAACAGCAACAGAAACAAATGAAAAAAGAAAAACAAAATCAGCTTGAATAAAAGAGACGGAAGAGAGAAGGATAGAGAAAGGGGAGGCGCGCTTTGTGTTTGAATGCTGTGTAGGAGATGACGGAGGTTGATGGAGAACTGAATTATTGTTTAAAAATGAAAGAAAAAGACGGTGGGCATTGAGCAGTAATGGGTGTGGCCTCGCTTTTCTTCCACGAGTTCACATTGGAGAGTGACGGTAGGCAAAAAGGGTTTTGTTTTTGTTAGTACGGCTGGCGACTTTCCGGAGCTTCTTTTCTCCTTCATTTTTTGGGTATGTGTCAGAATTCAGATTCATGAAGACCAGTCGACCAGACGGAGACGATCCAGACCTGACGAAATGCTTTACTGGATACAGCCGAAGTTGCTGACTTTGTTCCTTCAAAGTTTTAAAACCTCGGTCTAAGTAGTGTGGGTCCGATGGTTAATTCGCGGTTGTCTTATATGTGAATACCCCACCCCCCACCGACCAAAACTGGTCTCCTTCCGGTCTCTGTTTTTCTGATTTTTATAAACTGAGAGAAGTGAAACAAACAACAAAAAGAAGCAACACTGCGTCCAGAGATGAGGACTGGATAAATGATTTTTTCTTTTTTTTTTTTTTTTTAAAAAAAAACAAACCTTCATTCATTTAGTAAACTGTTCATACATGAAGATCCAGGTTCAGCAGTTTGGATATTATGTATACAGGCATTATATGCTAATCCATGAGCAGGAGCAGCTGTATTATATGATCTATTTATATATTCTATTATACATAATATCAAAAAAACTTTTTAACTTCAAAATCTTCTTCATTTATGCTGCTCACGATCCCTTGATGATCAGTCAAAATGGTCACCGATTTATATTTCAAAACAGTTGCTTTCCTGAGGCCATATATTGCTGGTCACCATTCTGCTTGTGTACTTGATGAAGCTTTGATTCTTCTTCTCTCTGCATACACACAAGATTGATTTTGTGTTAGAATGACAAAACAAATTCCAGCTTTGCCTGTTACTGGATTAAAAGACCCATCCACATAGATGTAAGCCTCCGTTTCTCTTTGTTGTGAAGGAACCTCTCTTTGTTCACTTTGTTTGTCATGCTCTTTACCAACTATGTATTCATCAGCTTTTGTCACCACTTCTCTGGGATCTAGAATACTTTGTTTGTGAATTTTCTCATTTCGCATGTCATATCAATCCGAATAACATAAAGAATTTTGCAATATAATTTTGTTTGACATCTGGAGGCTGTAATTTTATTTTGATGTTCAACCATTTCAAGAAAAAAAAAATTGTATAAGCTCATGTCTTCAATCTCTTCCGGATGTATCCCTATTTGAACAGTAATGCATATGGCGTTTGCATAGGGACATTGGAAAAATAAAGGTTGCCATGTTTCTTTACTAGAACTGCATATAGGACAGGTTTTCTCTGCTTCATTGAGAAACATCAACTTATCTCTTGTTTTAATGCCATTGTTCCATGCTTTTCCACATGAATAATTGGAATCTAAAGGTGATGTTTGTTTTCCATATGATCTTCCAGTTCATACTTGTTCCTGAAGAAGATATAAGTTGATTTATAATGTCGCGCAATTTAGAAGCTCCTTCATGTCTAATGACTCGAACTCTGATTTGAATATTTCTTGATCAAGGCCGAGCTGTGTTAATCCGAGCTAAAAGGTGGCCGAGTTGATGTATACTAAAAGAGAAAGAATTAGAGTGCTTGGGTGTCTTTTACCCGAGGAGGACACTTCGATGCTTAAGTCAAAGAGTTTGTGAATTCTTTAGAGAATTTGAGAGCTAGTAAGTATGTAATCACACGTACCTTTTCAAGTATCAGTGGTCAGAGCCCTCTTGTAATGGGCCCGAGCTTCTTGCAGAACTATTTCTGCTTTGTTGGGCATGTTAATGTATCAGTTGCGAGATTTGCGCAGGGGTTACAATCTACCCGAGTAACTCCGAGGTGTGCGATGCAGTAGGTCGGTCTAACAGTCGAGATATCAACACTCCGAGGATCTCGACTTGATAACGTACTACTAAAATGGTTCAGCGAGCTCTTCCTCGCAGGTCGCCATGGATTCCTACAGCTTGGCTGGCTTCTAGGGCAAGTCACTGTAATCTTACAGAGTTTACTAGTTCAGCCTTGCCGAGGTGGAGGTCAGCCTAAATGAGGTGCCCCAAGCTAACTTGCCAAGCTAGTGCGAAGATGTCCCCCGAAGGCCACATGTTGCAGTATAATTGATCGACTCAAATTATCCCTCATCAATTTATAGAAAAAAAAATATGAGTTTTTCTTGTAACTCTTGCACACCAATTTGTCCCTCTTAGCATTTGTAGACAAGTGTAATTGAGTAATGTGATTTACACTTTCTTCTTCAAAAAGGTCATTTATTAGTGGGATGTTCCATGATCCATCGGGTTTGACCAATCAACTACTTTTTGAATATTTTGGTGGATAGTTAAACTAGCTCCGATTGTTGAAGAGCCAGTGATAGCTAGTAATCAATCAATCAAGCCTAATAGCGCTACAGCTACGGACTTGAAAATTGCCTTAAAACTTTAACATTGCATAGAGTTACAGTGGAACATGTCAATTTAAGACTTGATCCAATCCAGTTATACTTTTACCAGGTTGGTTCTGTTCAAACTTCAAAGTTGAAAATATCAACAAGTATCAGTCTGTATCAGACGATATGAGATCAGAGATTGCTTGTTTCATATCCCCATTTCCCTATTGGAGTATGTTACAGCATACAAATTATTACAAATCTAATTCTAATTCAAGGCAGAAATGAATGATATGCATTTCTCAAATTTGATAAATACATACATAGTATAAATATAATGAAATGATGGTTACTTTTGGGAGATGTAATGTTTTTCTCACAGCCATTTGTGCTATGTGTAACCCAACATTGTAAGCCAGTAATTTTTAGGATTCATTCGTTTTCCTTCAAATGTATACAAACTATCTGTACTACTGTGCTATTCTATTCAGCCTCAGTCCTAATGGTGAAGTGGTATGGTTGGCTCCAGATAAGCTTGCTCTGAAAATCAATGATAATGGAGCTTTATCCTTCAATGGGATAGGACAGTTCTGAGGTTGAGTCTGATCATTCAGAACTGGGGTGGAAGAGCTTTGAAGGCCCAGTCTAAGTAAGTCAAGGGAGATAACACAGAAAATAGTTATGCTCCTCTTGTTGGGGGAGCTGTTGGATCCTTTGTGCTATATTAATTAAAACCATTATTGGTGATTTGTAGGATCTTGTCATGTCAATTCTCCCCTTCCTCTCTGTTCCTTTTTTCCTTTGTACCACAATTACAAATCATGTAATGTGTGTTTAAACTTTCAAACCTCCGAATCAAACGCGGTTAGCTGTACCAAGTTTCTTGGATCCGTTTTTTGCAAAGGAAAGGAGTGTACTCTCTCAAATCTCAATGGTTAATAATGACTACTGGATTTAGCTTGAGAGAGGTCTTTCCCAAAAACAAATGCCAAATTGAATTAAAAACATGCATCTCCAGTCTCCACGCAGTGTGGCCAATGTTCTTCTTTTCTTTTTTCTTTTTTTTTTAAAAAAAAAAAAAAATTATCCAGCTCATCTCATGGTCCCTTTTCTACTCTAAAAGCTAAATCAGATTTGATCCCAGTGATTGCTCATCCTTCCTAATAAAAAGGTAACTTCCTTTTCCATCACCATCATCCTTCTCTCACTTCTCTTTTTCCACCTAGTAATCACGCTGAAAGCGAAGTGGGGGAAAGAGGCAGACGAAGAAAAGAAGAGTAACAGTGATGGGTCGTTGATTTATTTTGTCTGTCCGAGTTTGTACAATGGCAGCTAAGATTAGATTCTTCTTGCTTCCTCTTCTCTTTGATTCCTACTTCTCACTTCTCATTCCGTCCGAGTTCCGATGACCTATGCTACCATCCAACTCTTCCATATTTTCATTACCCCTAACAATTCCTAACATCAACATCGACTTAATGGCATTCACCTAACAATTGCCAACCTGAGAGGGCTTCAGTCAGAAAAATGGACAAATAAATTTTAATTCAAAATCAAATATGTATGTAAGTAAATTGACATGGGTTGGGTTGGGTTGGGTGCAACTTATATGGACTTTTGGTTGGAAATTTATCAAAATTTGAATGGGCCCGGCCTCGAAGCGCAGGCCCAATGGAGTGCAAATTCGAACCCAGGATATGGGTCTCGTTTACTCTCAAGTCTCAATTCATGTTGTTTCCTGATTTTCACCTTAATTATTTTAGGTAGAGCAGGACATTTAATGTCAATGAAGCCTGATTTAGTTCCTATTTCCTAATCAAATAAAAGTCTCATCCTAAATGGTCAAGGTTTAAGCGCTTAAAAGGGTAAAAGACTGAACCTCCCCTCTCAGAATAACACGCCTTTAAATCTAACAGAATCGATAAAAAGACAGCCTTAACCTTAAATGTTCTTTAAATTTTCAAAGCACATTAAAGGTTGATTCTAATTTTGGTTGATTTTGAAGTATTTGCTGTTTCCGCCTAGTATGCCACATTTTGGTTACAGAGAGAGAGAGAAAGAGAGAGATTTAACACGGATGTGGAGATGAGGAAATTGGTCATGAATTGGTCGATCGTTCAAGAAGAATTAGGACTACTTCATGCATTGCTCTCTTTGTCTCTCTCTCTCTCTCTCCCTCTCTTTCGCTCCATCTTTCATGCCAAAATATGTTTGGGATGTGGATGCTGACTATCGTACGGTGTGCTGGTAATATGAATCGTGGTTTCTAACACTCCTCATCCCTATCATTCTTTTGGTGCAGGTAATTGAAATTGTAGTCCCTGATTCTCTCTCATGGGCCTTGTGTTACAGAGGAGGACTGGTTCTCACCTTTAAAAACAAAGGTTTCCTCTTTTATGTAAATCGCTCACATGCCCTCAATGCTTCAATCTAATTTCTTCCTTACGGTTTTTAAATTATATTGGAGCATCCTTTCTATTTCTGACAATTGTCACACCGTTAAATAGTAATGATTTTATTGAAATATCATTTATGCCCTTCCGTTAAATTGGACCAGAATTCACTTGAAAAGAAAATTACTATATTAACCCTCAATGGTTAACCATTAGGCTGGTGGGTGATCCTATTAGCTTCATTCATGAAACTTAAACCCTTCGTTGTTTGTTCTGAGAACTTCATTACCACTGCAACTTCCAGCCAACTGTAAACTTTTGTCTATAGGTAAGGTAGAAGAAAACGATGTTTAACATGACATATACCTCGAATCTGTAGAAGAAAATATCGTTGTTTTTAAACCCTAATCCTTTCGTCTTACATGGTTATCTTATTATCAATATTTTATGTAGTGAGTTCTGCTATACCAAACGATTTTTTATTGACTGGTTTGCCTAGAATTTTCCACACTGAGGCGTTTTTGCAGTGAGTTCATCTTTTTAGACATTTCACTGTGAAGGTTCTGCTTCTGGGGGGGACCATTTACAAAGATTCAAGGTCCAATAGTGCCTCGAATTACGTGCGAGTGGGCGAGGCGAGCGGGCTATAGGGGTGGGCATGCAAGATGGCGAGGCGAGTGGGGAGGGTGCTGGGAGCTGGGCGTGCGAGTGGGCAAGGCAGGTAGGCGGGGCTAGGCATGCAAGCAGGTGAGGCGGGTGGGTTATAGGGGTGGGCATACAAGATGGCAAGGTGGGCTAACAAGGGTCTGGGGGCTAGGCATGCAAGTGTGCAAATGGGCGAGGTAGGAGGGCTGGGGCTAGCCATGCGAGTATGCGAGCAGGTAGAGGGCTGGGCATGTGAGGGGGGACTTTCAAGAATTTCTTCTAACAGATGGCATCAAAAATTTGTATTTTTTCACAATCATTGTGAAATGCTCCATTCACAACGAAATGGTGTGTTTACATCGTCTTTAGGCTTTCACCACTGCATCACTCTTTCATCTGATGATGGTTTTACCTACTCACAATTGATTGACAGAGCTCGCCTTCCACTAGACCAGAGTTACTTGAAGCTACGCTAGTTATTACCAATGACACTAAAACCGTCTCATGGCTGTAATATAACACAGGTGATGATCGTGGCTCCAAATCGAAAAGGTGCATTTTAGACCTGTAAAGGGTAATCTAGGAATTTTTGAACAATATATCCATCATGTCATGTCACATGTTAACAACCCATGACAGATAGTTGACGGTAGGGGAAGTTTGTGACAATTGTCAGAAATAGTAAGGGTGCTCCAAGACAATTTATAAGCAGTAAGGATACATCTTGACAATTAACTAAACAGTAGGGATAGTTTAAGAAATTTATCCTTTATTTATTTTTTTTTTTATTTTCATTCAAGGGTCATGTGTAGTGAATTGGACCAACAACTTGAATCTCTACTTAAGGGTGAGTCATCCCTACAAGGGAAGGCTTTTGTCTAATGAAGTAACACAAATAAATAATCATAAAAGGCAAAATTGGGTTTTTCAAAAGTTTTAACCACACTTAACGTTACATACAAACGAAACTTGAAATATGACTAACAGATGGGAGACCTTTGTGAAAATAAAGGGGAGGTTTTAGAATTTATGAAAAACCTCAAGGGAGGTTTAAGTCTTTTATCCTTTTCTTACACTATCCCTATTATTTAGTTAAGTGATAAACTATATTTTTATTGTTTAATTATTGTGTTGAACCACCCTTACTGTTTCTAATAATTGACTAGCTCTACCTCTACCCCTGTTGTTAGTGTCCTTACCTTTGTCCGATCTCTCTCTCTCGTCCCTCTATTTTTCTCTTTCTTCCTTTTTGTTGTTCTTCTCTGCCTGAAACATGACACTGATGTGTATACTACCTTTTTGTGGCGCAACTCACGCTCCCTGGGATGAGAGCTCCTCAGACAGAGACAGATGCCACGGAGCGTTGTGACGTATGACTCTCTGTGAGGAGGCCACAGGCGCTCTGTTTATCTGGGCTTTAACCTGTGCATGTGTATTAAATGGAGGTTTAATGAAATAATGTTAATTTTGATGTGGATTTTTTACTTAAGGGCAAAACGAACATTTCATATATTCTGTTATGGTTTAACACGATGGTAATTTTTAGGAATCATAGGAATGGCGCAAAACAACAATTAAACAGTAAGAATAGACTTAATCAATTAACTAAACCACAAAAGTAATTTAAGAAATTTTCCCTAAAAAGACCAAATATTAAGTTTCTTGATCGTTCAGAGAAGCTATAACTAAGTTTATTTGGATAAGTTTCTGCTTTTGAACTTTGTAAACATACAAGTGACTAGAAGTGTTGTAAGCGTTTGGACTTTGATAAGTGTTTCTTTTAGAAACATGCTCTGAAGTGAAAACACTTTAAGCCTATAACACCAAGCCTAAAATTGGGGGTTTATGCTTTGCAACTTTTAAAATCACAAATCCTGAAGCTTATTAACTAAATAGTCCAATTAGCAAACCAAACCCGCTCCTAACAGATTGAAGAGCCTAATTTTCTACTAGCTCAATACACAAATGTAACACGGCAGCCGGCAGTATGTTATGCTGTCTCATGATGGAATCTAATATTGTCGACAATCCAGAGAGAATTCTGAAGTAAAGGCATGGCATTACAGGAATTTCACATGAATTTAACCCAAATACTTGAACTGGGGAATTTCCTGGCCTAAACCTCTGGTTTTTCAAGCAAATGATCAATTTGAGTTGGCCTATCAGGGGGCGGGGACCCACCTCTACTTTTACTTATTAAACTTTTTATTTTATTTCTTTTTTTTTTCTCATTTGAAACCATTTCTATACTAACAAAGAATAAATGCATTTAAATAAAACAATGAAAAATAGTAAAAAAAAAAGAAAATCTGAATATAAGCATTTTTATAATTTTACACTTGAAAGTTCAGAGTTTATAAGACTTCGTTTGGTTTGAAGGAAAAGATAGAGAAAGAAAAAGAAATATAAGAAATCCTTTACAAAGAAAAAGAAACTGGATCTCCCTTGTCATTCACGGGAAATGTCTAATGTACGGCTGTACTGCTTTTTGGAAGGCTTGTTGGGAGCAGATCCAAACTCAACATCATCTATCTAACAGCCTCCATACCTTTTGTAACAAACAAAAACAACAAACGTTTTATGTTTCTTGATAAAAACAAAACAAATACGTCCAAGTGTCTCTTGGTTTTGAATTCTGATGAGGAGCAAATCTCCATTCTTCGATTTCTCCCCTTTTCCCTCTCCTCCTAGCACAGAGGTTGGGTCCTTACAAAGTTGTACTCACTCCGTACTCACATCATGCTCACACAATTGTATTCACATCGGAAACATTTTCATATTGGTATGTTTTTATTCATGGATAGATATTCTCGATGCACGGAGATATTCGCAATACACGATTGCATGTGGCTGTGAAGACGATGTGAACACGGTCTTGTGATTACTGAATCCGAATTCGTGCTCTTCTCTCCTGAAATCTCTCTACTCTCTCTCTTATCGTAAAAATTTATTTCAGTAGTTTCTCGCATTTCATCTCTCAGATCTATCCTTATACAGTGGCACTTCTGTAAAATCGGTCTGATTTACATGGCTACGATACTCGAATCGGTGATTATTCCTCGTCCTTCTGGATTCCTTACGGCCCTGTCGCCGTCACCGACGGCTTCCTCGATTACTGCTTTCCCGAACGGTTGGAAAGTCCTCAGCCTGCCCGAATTTAAGGGTTTGAGGATTCAATCGCGTCCTCTGATGCACACGTCTCCGTCGGTAAGCTTGAGTAACGCGGAGATTTCTAGACGAGGAGGAAGGATCGTCCGCGAGGCTCGGGATACTACAGCCCTCGATGGTTAGACTTCTAGCTTTTCCCGCCATTTCCGTGTTCACTTTAACTGATATTATTTGCTTTCTTTCATTTATTGGTATATGTTTCTTTTGTGTGACATAGATGACTTGAGGGATATGAGCAATTTCGTTTGTCTCTTCTGGAAATGATCGTTGAAGAGCCATTTTCATTTTAGAGAAATAATTTCATGTTATTCCTTGGGTTTTTCTGATGAAGCTCGGCCCGGGGCGGGGGNGGGGGGAGGTGGCTGGGGGAGGAATTCGTTATTTGCTTATTGTGGAAGGAATACTGGAAACTTAAAACAATTTCTTACTATTCGTTAATCATTATTAAGTTGTTTGAGTACTTGAATCTTTGAAAGTGCATGAAGTTGACTCTCTGTTCAAATAGCTCGATTGGGTGGTAAAAGAACTCAAGTATTTCACACACTGGAGGAGTTCTAGAAAAGATGTGATATGTAAAAGCACATGACATCAAACAAACGTTGCAAAAATTAATAGTCTAATAGATTACACAGCACAAAAGTCAGAATGAAATATTAGCCATACCTTAAACAACACAATGTGTTTGGTTCAGCTTACTGCCCCTCTTTGATAAAGAACAATCTAAAATGAGACTTGACTGTGTAATGCATCACCATAGTCTTCTATAGGAATGAGCCATTTATTGCAATTTAGAATATTTATCCCATCCTTGGTTTTCTCATTGGTATAGAGAAAAGAAGATAGTTTGGCCTACCTCAATGAATCCTCAAACAAACTTTGATCCACTTGCTTGCTTTACAAACGTCCACCAAGCACAAAGGGCTACCAGAGTCCTTTATTGTTCACACCCCAAAACTGCAGAAACAATGGTGATGTTCTTTGGAGAGAATTCTTTGTCAACCGATAGAGAGGGAGAACAATAAGTTCAAAAAAGAAAAAAAAAATTGAGTATGTGATAGGGAAGAGGGTAGTTTCTAAAGATAACTACCCTTTTTATATTACCAAGAGTCCACTTATCTAAGGACTCTAGGCCATTGCCCCATTAACAGATAATGGGATATGCATCTCCTATAATGGGAGTGGGGGGAGTTTTGAACTCCCAATCACTTGTGTGTTTGTTATATGACTTGAGTCCAAGCCATCAGCCGACACTCATCATGTTTACATTTTCAGGTTTGAGCCATATTTGATCCACATTTTCTATTTTCTTAAGCTTTCTCTGATTTGATTGGTTTGAAGAAAAAAACGGCAATAGAAAAGAGGCCAATAAGAAAATACTCACACAATGATCCTAAAAGAGAAGGATTAGCATACTAGTCAGTATGAAGGTGCTGAACATTTTGTCAGTTTATAACTCATCAAGAAACAAAATGTTAGGTTATAACATTGGAAGGTTCTCATCTCTTGTTACTGTTTTTCATTAAGTTGTATTTGTGATCTTCATTATGTTATAGATGGTATAAGTAAACTATATATCATAAGTAGCTAGCTTAGTGGGGGTCTGTCTATTTGGCTAACCACTTTACCTTTCCTCAAATAGCAAGGAATGGAGTGTATTGAGTAAATAAAGACATCATACAATATAATGCTGCAATACTAGTGGAATTAAGGGCGGAAAGCTGAGGAACTAGGATTTACTCATGGTTGATGTGCACACACACCCTGCTTTCTCAAGTGATGTGCAATTTCTTTAAAAAATAGAACATAAGTTTAGGGGAAAAGTAAAAACTGTAAAGAAACAAATAGGCACATATATAGACACAAAGGCATGTCAAGCAAGCAGACAGAGGGAAAACAAATTGAATAGCTTGAAGGAAAAGGAGATGAGTATTCATGAGGTGATGAGGAAGAGCTTAAGTAAGATAAGTAGCACCAATCCTTGAGGTTTTCTATGAATATTGGATTCCAAACTACTCCACTTGTTCCCTCTTCATTGCAGCTCCATTCTAGTGTATCTCTATTCTCTGCTGCAATGAAAAGAGATGGATAAAGCTTAATAGGAGGTTTTTCAACACACAATGGATCTCTTCATAAAGACAACCTAGAGTCATTCCCCACTTTATATTTAGCCCAATTATGAAAGAGGTACGGGATTTCTTAACCCTATCCTTTATTATGCACCCACTCCCACCCAAAGTTTCTTGTTTTATACTTAGCCACAGCGATTTATCTCCAGAGTATGTCACTTGATTAAACCTCCATCATTTGCTAGATGGTTTGGGGGTGGGGGGATGGGAGCTAATATTATTATTCTAGTCCTCTAGGCAGTACTTGAACTCACCTTTCACCCTCTCCATGAGAATACCTCTTTATGATGGCTAGAGGGTTAAGGAAGAGGGACCCTAAATTCCCATAGTTTAACAGTTACTAAGATTATAAACAACATGAAACAAAGGGGAAAGAAATCATTGTTGGTCAATCCCAATATTTCCCCTGAAGAGTAGTTTTGATCCATTTATTTTGGGATTTAAAAAAGTTGTTGACATGACAGGTATGATCCAGGTTTAGAAACTTAGATAATAAATGCTTGTAGGGTCAAGATTGGGGTCTAGGGAGGTGAAGATGAACTTGAGTAGATAGGGTTAAACAAAATTTCTCAGGACAGGAAAATAAAGAAAATTAAGAAAAACATGAAGGTTTGACATTTTGTAAAAGAGTCTAGATGGATGACATGCAAGGGGTGACTAAGTTTGGTAGTATTTTATCATGAGGGAAAACACTTTGTTAACAATAAAGTGAAGAAGTGAGGAATGAAAGGTCATTACCCAATGTTGGTCCCAGATAACTTTTGGCATTACTTCTATTTATTTATTTATTTATTGCATTATGTGGCTTCTCTCAGGCTCAAATCTGCATTTTCGTGGTTGTCATCCTGAGATTGTACTACTAAACCAAGCAATGACACCTAGAAGAAATGAGAAATAAAAGATAAATACAACTTAAAAAAAAAAAAAAAAGAGGTCAATGCGAACATGAATAAATCAGCCCATTACATTATATCATAGTCAGTCCCCAAGGAATGGAGGCCCCTGATATATCTCTCCTCTGTTTATTCTAGATTTGGCAAGCTTATTTGCCAATTTATTATCTATATCTCCTGATCATCCAGCCAGTAACAGTCTTTGAATCTCCAGCTTCCGATCTTTGGAAATATAGAGTATACATGAGTCTCAATCCCTACAGCAAGGCTAAAATTTCCTATCTAACTTTAGTAGGCTTTTGGGTAGTTTTTGCACAAAAAAAAAAATAAAGATGTTTTATGCGAAGAAACCTAGGAAATTCTAGGTGAAGTTTTGCAAACCTGTTTGAAAGGATGGTTGGGAGGTTAAATCTGAGGGGGGAGGGGGGGTTGATAAAAAAATGTGGGGGGGGGGATGGGGAATGTTGGGTAGGTTTTTGGAAATGGATGTAAGAAAATACATGGATTAGCTATCTGTCCTCTAATCATGTTGAATGGTGGTATTTTGTCTGGTCATTGTTTGGCAATCAATGCTGGAGTTAGCTTAAGTGGCAAGAGATAAAGAAAGAAGAGAAAAGATCCTGAATCCCTCCATGGGCACCAAATATTACTATATTCACTCAAAACATAATGATTGATCTCTTTGTCTGTATTCTTACAGACATGTTTATAGATTGTAGGGATTGGCCATTTCTACTTAAACTAAAACAGCAGAACATTTCAAATTTATTGTTCTCATACTCTGATGTGATGTAACTATAATAACTCCTAATCTACTTAAGAAATGACTGAAATCATAAACACTAGTACATAAACTGTGTTATAATTAGACAAATCAATCTACTATGTTGGTATGTTGGGCCCACTTACAACATGGTAGAAATGATCAAAATGTCCAAGAAATTTTCATCTCCATAAGAAATTAGGATTTATTGTGTGCAATCCCTATCAATTCTGCCTTCCAACGATCAAGATTTTCATGTCGTTCATATGCACTTTTTATCTTTATGCTGTCTTCATTCATTTATTTATTTATGAATAGTGAAATTGGTATGTCTATTAAAAGGGGAGAGAGATTTCCCAAAATGATAATCAACTGAGTTTTAATGTATGAAATAAATTATCTCCTCTGGGTGATGCAGTGCCTGATGTGGCAGAGGCAACTTGGAGGCCACTTATCCTTGAATGAGAGGGTGGAAAAGTGGATTAGGACCATAAGGTTCTTCTCATTTGTGGTCCTCAATTATCAAAGATATATAAGTGTGACTCCTGTTGTAGTTCAAGGTTGGTGCTATAGCATTCTCTTATTAGTGCCTAATTTGCCTTAATTGTTGATTTCTCACAACAAACATGGAAATTTATGCAATTAGTACCTAAAATAGCGTCATTCAATAGGAGCATATTTTCTTTTTTACAAGTATTTGTATCATTTATTACAGAAAATCTCCTTTTCTTAAATTAATGTTCCGTTCTACTTACTAACTAGCTTCTAAATTGCATGATTCAACTATTATCGGAGGATATCCCCTTTTTTTTTCTTCTGTTCTTACATTTCTTGGCTACTTGCAGGTTTTCAGGTGAGAAAACCACTCTTACCAAGTAACAGGCTTTACTTGAATAGAATAAATTTGTGTCTATCGTCTCAATCTGCTGAAGTCTTGCCTCCTTTAGAGAACCACAAGAGTCGCCCTATAGTTAAGATGTGTGGAATTACGTCAGTGAAAGATGCTGTGATGGCTGCAGAAGCTGGTGCTAGTCTTATTGGGATGATTCTTTGGCCCAACTCAAAGCGTTCTGTCTCATTCTCAGTAGCGAAAGAAATTTCAAAAGCTGCAAGAGAATATGGAGCAGAGCCTGTTGGTGTATTTGTGGATGATGATGCAGATACAATATTAAGAGCATCTGATGCATCAGACATTGAACTTGTGCAGGTAAGTTTCATTCTAACCTTGAAGGTGTAGCTTAGTAGACTCATTTAACATTGGTATATTGGGGATATGCAGCTTCATGGATGTGGTTCACGGGCTGCTTTTCCAATATTATTGCAAAAAAGCCGAATAATCTATGTTCTTCATGCCAGTGAAGATGGTGACCTTCTAAATCAAATTCCCAATGAAGAATCTTCTCAAGCTGACTGGATTTTAGTGGATAGTGCAAAGGGTGGCAGGTCTGAAACAATTCACTCTTATTTTGGTTACCATTTCTGAATTTCGATTTGTGCATCATCCATACATGCATTAATGGGCATACATTTATGAGCTTAATAGCTAAGCAGGTGTCTTAACTTATCTGTCCAGTGGCTTTTTTTAAAGATTTTGGTGAAAGCTAATATGAATTTCCCATGACATAAGGGAACTTTTGAGTTGTTCTAGCCAAAGGAATCTAATTAATTCCCTCCTAGTTCAAACCTCAATGTTCTTCATCAAAATTTCTTTGGCAAAAAGGTTTTCTATGTTTAACACTGCAATTTAATAATCTCCTCAGAGAATCCATTATATTTGATTCTGCTGGCATCATACTTCACCTTTCCATCTTTTATTATTCCGAAATATGCTCTTAGCCTCTTTATGTTCTTCTGTTCTTTCTGTTTCCCAATTCCTTTCACTTAAGCCATGTTTGGTTTGAAGGAAAATGCAGGGAAAGGTAGGGAAACCTTTACAAACCTTGTATAGGTTTCCCTGTCTTTCCCTTCCTTTCCCTATCTTTTCCTTCAAACCAAACATAGCCTTAGTGAATTTTTTTCTAGTTTACTTCAGAGGTTCTTTATTATTACCTAAGTATTTGCAGTAGCCAAAATATTGGGAGGTCTACCGACTCTACCCACTTGGTTGATTTGATTTGTCAGTTTTCACCATGTAAATAGTCTGATTTGCCATGCCTATTGGGTCTGGGTTTTATAACGGTGAGCAGTGGGAATGTGGACTCCGGATCACCTGCCCACGAGAACTCTACCCACAACACTACCCCCGTGAATTGGGAACATCTCCCCCTGCATAATACTATATAGGAGGATGAGATGTTCCCCATGTGTGGTTGCGATATTATGTGGGTAGATGTGGGCAGGAGATCCGGACTCGGGAATATGTGATGCATCGGCATTAGAATGAGTTGACTCTAGAATAGTTTCTGTTGAGCCTGCCCAAGTTGCATCCTTATGCACAAGGGCACCCACGATTAACTTTGCCAATCTCTAAATGACAATTCATATGCTTGCAGTGGTAAAGGGTTCAACTGGGCAAAGTTTAAGCTACCATCCATTAAAAGCAAACATGGATGGCTGTTAGCCGGTGGGGTCAACCCTGACAATGTTCTTGAAGCCATCACCACTCTTAGGCCCCAGGGAGTAGATGTGAGCAGCGGTATCTGTGCGGCTGATGGCATCCAGAAGGACAAGTTCCGGATATTATCCTTCATGAGTGCTTTGAATTCATCAAACCACTGATCTTTTGGAAGATAAATGTTTGAGAACTCTATGGAATTTTCTATTTTGTTTTCATCCTTTTCATTGAAATTTCTTTCCCGTTATCAAAATTTTGTTTGTTTATTGAAGAGGCGGGGGGGGGGGGGGATGGATGATTTTGTTATGAAGACGGTTATTATTTTCGATCAATATGATGTTATCTTTAACCATATACTGCTTTGTAGAAGTGCTTTATTTCTATGTTATTAATTTCAGTTATCCTGCACAAGATCTAAATTTTCAGTAGCAAGGTCTTTGTAGAAATAATAGCGTTGTACAACTTAGTTATCCATAGATGATAGAATTTTGAAAGTCTACCTCTTGAAATCACATTGGTTTTGGATTAGTTGGGTTCCTATAAATCAGGTCACCTCCTAGTATTGGTCATCCTCGAATAGCAAAAGGGACCTTGACACCGTAACTATGTAATGTTTTAAGTTACATAATAATTTGGGTCCAAGCTTCCTGCTTGTCCTGGAGTTCCGGTTCCTATATGACACCAGCCCTTATTTCATTCAAGTGGGATTACATCGGTGCAATAGTCCTTGAGATTACATTTGGCACCCATTTGGGATCATGTCATCATTTTAATATGATCGCTGCATGTGAAAATTGTTCTTTGTTTGGTCCAACTTTAACGCTTCAGCTTCAGGATTGGATGGTTGGAAACATCATCAGGAGAGGTGCCACTTGAGTTTCTACCGTCGAGTTCAGTTGTCAAACAACCTTAAGCAGGTGTATTAACTGTCCAGTGACTTGCCCACAACTCAAGAAACACAAAAGAATTAAGAGCGCTCGTCTATGGCATGAACAGATTCCCCTGAAAGCCGATGACCCAGTGGCGCCTATCATAGCTTTCTGCTTCTGGCACCATAGATTTACCCGGTGCGAACAAACAGTAGTCAATAGGTCATGTTTTCCTTTCTTTTTCTTTCTTTCTTCTTTTTTTTTTGTNNNNGGGGGTTAGAAGACAATACACGATAGATGGAGTAAAGGTCTAAACACATTTGACATTCCTATTGGACTTTGCTCCGGGGCCAAGAAACTTGGTTCAACCGTCTAATTCCCGATGGGTACCCGTCTGTGTACCTGATCAAATTAATTCTCGATTTTCCTTTCTCTAAGTGTGTAAGCTTGAATTTATAATTTTACCTCTACAAATAGACTTGAATTTATAATTAAGCTGCACTTTATATCGATATCCAACAGATACCTAGTTCTTAGATACGATGGGACCTGAAATCTATCACAGGATCTTATTTTTGTCTTCCAGTTCCAGACCCAGATACAAAATTTAGATCCAAGTGTCTGCTACTGCTAATTGGGTGTGGCGGGTTAAATATTATAATACCCACTAATATTTGAAGGCCCACAGTGAAAATTTTTATGCCACACTGTTGTAAAAGAACATCATCATCTCTCTCTCTCGTATTGATTATTAAAGAGAAAAAAATTGCTGACAATAACAGGATATGGACTACTAGAGATTTAATAATGATTCACTGTTAAAATTAATATGGCTCAAGTCTCCACTCCACGCCATTACTCTGACTTTTGCCGTGAGGATCCAGATTCAAACAGCTCAGAGTCGGTTTGGTAGTAGACAACATCTCCTGTATCGCTGACATAGTGATCGTGTCTCATACTTGTGATTAAATCTCCGATCAAGTGAAATGGTAGAGGTGCAGACTTCTTTGGCTGGCGGTAGTACTTCCCAAGCACAGGCTTAGCTGCCTCAGTCTACAAGGCCACGGTAACAAATGATGAGTCATGAATGAGTAAGGGCCCTTTCTTACCAGATAAATTATATTTCCTAGCCTTAGTAGCTTCTAGCTTGTGACAAATCATTTCTTTAATTTGGAAGGGGAATTAATACTTACTGCCTCAACCAGATGATAGTGAGGGATTTGAGGGAAGAGATGATGAATCACATGGGTCCCAATGTCGTGGTGGATGTTGTTAATCCACCCATAGTCACGATCAAGCGTGGTTAGCCCTCCCCTCAGATAACTCCATTCCTGTAAACTCCAATACCAACAGTAGGCTAAATTAAATTAGCATTCCATTATTTAGAGAGAGAGAGAGAAACGAACCTTACCTTCCCACGGTACCATGGAAGTTTATCCTCATGACCATGGTGATGCAAGTAAGTGACAAAATCCAGCCACATGACAAAAATCTGTATTAATTCAGAAAATTATTTAGATTGCTTTATATAGTCAAAGAAGATAGCTCTTGTAGGAGTTGATCATAATGAGGCAAGTTAATGCATCAATTGAAAATGAAGAAACTGAACCTACCCAGTATGGAACTCCATAGAGCTTAAGCATTTGGATAGGACCCATTGCAAAGGACAATCCCACAAGCAATCCCACCATTGCTGCCCAGCAGACAGTGGACGTGATCACATCTTTCTTCTCATTAGGGACAAACAAGTCGCTATCTGGATGGAAGTGTGAGCCTGATTTTCCGGGACTTCTACTCCACTGTAACATAATTAATCACAAACAGAGAAACAATAAGAAACACATTCATAAGTTGCTCTAATGGATTCTGAAGCAATCAGGAAATAGCTAATTTACCAGATAGAATGGAAATGCAAGCATGGGAAAAGGCACCATGAAACGCAGTGTTCGGGTAATGACATCCAAACTCCTGTAAATCTTCTCCGACAACTGTAATGGAGGAGATAATCAAATATAAATAAGAAATTAACAGAGAGAAGAAAACAAGAGCAGAGAAGAATTTAAAGAAGGAGAGAAAATAAGAGCAGACAATAGGCCAGTACAGAATATTAACTGACCGGATGCCATGATTCGTCATTCTCAACATGCCCGTGGTTCTGATGATGAGTCCTGTGGCTAATTCTCCTGCAATGTCATCACAACGCAAGTCGTTGAAACCCAGAACTTCTAGAATTGATATTTAAGTTGATGAAATCTCTCAAAGAAGAAATATAGCTATCAGAATATACCATCCATGGTAAGGCACAAGAATTGAGGAGTGCAAGAGATGCCCAACCACACTATTTAGCTTTGGGTTATTTGAGAAGCTCCCATGGCCGCTGCACAATCCAAAACTCAATTATTTAGACAACTTTTAATACATGTATAACAGGAAAGAAGAAAAGAATACAAGGAAGTCATTAATTCATTAAGAAGAGAAGCAGGGGAGCTCACCAGTCATGGCCAAGTACAAAGAGAGCCCAGAACATGGTTCCCTGCGCAGCCCAGTAAAGCGGCCAAACAACCCAATTGTTGAGGTAAGCGGCGGCTGCCGCCAACCCAAAGACGACAGCAACATCCCTGACGACGAAGCTCATAGACCGCCATGGGTCCTTGACCCAACAGTGTTTGGGAATGGCCGCTCGGACGTCAGCCAATCGAAACGGAGGAAGGGCACCAGGATCAAATTCATCTACTTCATCAACCCCATTAATCTTCTCCTCTTCTCCACTGTCCTCGTCAACAGACGCGACCCTCACAGGAGAGCTCACCTTGAGTGCCCAATCTTGGTGTCTAGACGCGCTCGAGATCGGAGAAAGACTAACATCTGTTAGTGTTCCAAGAAAACCACGGCCTTTACAAGCAATGAATCTAATTTTGGTGGGGTTGTTGGAGAAAACTCTGGTTCTTGGTCGAGGAAATACGCGAGGAAGGGGTCTTAGACCGCATTCTGATAAAACCCAACTCGCCGCCATTCCAGACCCAGACCAAGGTGCAGGTGGAAAGCTCAAGAATTTGCAGTTCTCCCAGTATGGATGGATGGCTATAGAAGAGATGTGAACCAGAGTTGCTCTAGAAGAAAACGAAATTAGATTACTGCAGCCAATATGTAGTATTTATTTAAGAAGAAAACGCAAGCAGAGGAAGAAGATAATACTATGGAATTATGGATTCTCTCAGAGGTTTCTCTTGTAAAAACTAAAACAAGGAGGCCTCAGCCGTGTAGAAGCTCGACTCGACTGTTGAATTTCGTCTAGCGGGGGAAAGAGTTTAGTTGAGTTAAATATGAGAGAGGCTACATGATGTTCTTTGACGAGGATTGGACCTGGATGGACGGTATGGCACTGTTTGCACGCGTTCTGGCGTGGCGACTCATCATACATGTGTCACACGTGCGTCGTGGAACTTCTTATGTTATTATTATTGTGGGGGTTGACCCTTGCCGTCTCACGAACCCCAACCCAACCAAACCCACACAGTTCATATCTCTGTTCCTAGAAAGGACGGAAATACATTAATAATAAAATAATAAAGGGATAACATAGTGACACTAAACCAAACCATGTGAATGTCGTCAATGACGTTATGACAGCACGAGGAGTTTTGAATATGACCTGATGACGGGGATTTGGCCCTCCAAAACTGGCAGCCTCTTGACAATTAAGTGCAGTCTTCTGACAATTAGGCAGTTCGCCACAGGCAGTTCACCCTCATGTAGCCTAGCACCTCAGAACAACTAGGTAACACTCGAGACCATTTTGACAACAATTTACCTTTGCCAAGTTGATGGTGTCCCACTAGGCGTAGCCTGGCACGGGCGCGGCCCGGCACAGGCGCGGCCTGGTGCAGGCTAGCAGCTTGGCCCTGCCATGACCTGGCGACTTGGCCCAGGCGCGACCTACGGCCTGGCCCAAGCATCGACCTGGCGGCCTGACACAGGCGTCAACCTAACAATCCCGAGGAGATCACCACCGTACCCCGCATTTTACGGGATTGTGACTTGTAACGACTATATTAGCTCACCCACTCCTCGAGTCAGGCAGAAATGAGCAACCTTACCAGTTGGTGGCTTTATCCCCACCTAACACGAAAGCAGGTCCCATCACAGCGGGAATCCAGAAACTGCTCCACCTAACCCACGAGGACTCCAGTATATAAAGACCTCACCCCCCAAGGGCGAAGAGAGGCGAAGAATGATGGTAACCCCTGCTCTCTAGCTCTCTCATTCTCTAATATCATCTTCAAGCTCTCTACTATCAAAGTGCTAACTTAGCCATCAGAGTGACCTCGCCGGGTAAACACCCCTAAGTTCTCTGATTCAGTTCTTATAGGTCCCTCAGCTCTCATCGTCTACAAAGATGAACTAATCATCTCCTGTAGGGAGCAGTCGGGTTTCACCAACAAGCAGCCCATCAAGGTAGCTCATCTCTAGGCAACCCACCAGGTAGCTCACCACCAGGCAGCTCATCAAGGTAGCTCATGACCAAGCAACCCATCAAGGTAGCTCACCACCAAGCAGCTCATCAAGGTAACTCACGACCAGGCAACCCATCAAGGTAGCTCACCACCAGGCGGCTCATCAAGGTAGCTCATCTCCAAGCAATCAAGGTAGTTCACCACCAGGTAGCTCACCATCGGGCAGCTCGCCACCAGGGAGCTCCACTTCAGCGTCTGAGTCATCGACCACAAGGGAGCAGACGAGATGATGAGGTACTTAGCAAAAAATTGATACATCACGAAAAAATGATACGTGACCGGAAACAATTACATCATGACCCATCTTACCATCGAACAAGCTCAAGTGCTGAATTGAAAAGTTTATTGTATTGTGTTTTAGTTGATTAAGTTCTTAAAGGAGGTTATGGGCTCGTTAATGGCTGAAGCTAAATTGGGGAAATTTATTGATTCCTCTATCTCATAAATAAATTTCTTAATATTTTATGAGATTGTAGAGTTGGAATTAGTGATATTCAAAGGAGGAGGGACCTGATCTTTCATGCCTAACAGTCCAAATCTGCCCTATGATCAGCCATTTGGCCACATTGGACCATAGTCTGTTGGTGAGATTGTGTGCACACATGTTCTTAAACTCATTTTCCTTGGTACCGGTAGCAAGTAGCTAGCAACAGGAACGGGAAGAACAAGGTTAAAATAATGAGTGCTTAAATCATTTCTTATTACAATCTATATCCTTTTTATCTCTATCTATTATATATATATATATATATATATATATATATATATATATATATGCGAGAGATCCCGAGTCTCTTTTAGTCCCTTCTTTCAACTTGCAATACATTAGTTTTGTGTTGTTACTTGATTGCCCAATACAATAACCCTAAATAATCAGCGATAAATGTGTTAAACATCCTAAAGAAAGGTTTTGTCATCACCCATAATGATTTCTTTCTTATTAGATATTTCTTTCTTATTTTCTATCTAATCAAACACAACCTAAAAATGTACTCATGCAAGTTTAGTTAGGATATGTCCAATCTAATGATGGATTATCTTCTAAGGGCCTGTTCGTTTGCTCTGAAGTCTGACATTTGAAAGTGTAATAATTACATCAAGAGGTATATTGGTATTGGTGAATTTTTCTTTTCTCTGAACTCTGAATGCAGATAATGTTGTTATGAATTCTGAATTCTGAAAACTATCAAATATCCATTTTGACTCCATATATGAGAGATTTTGTTTGTTTTTTTTCTTTTTTTGGTATCATTGGAAAACAAAAAGTTGTATGATTGCATTTTAAGAGATAAGAGATAAGAGGAAACGAACAACCAATTTTCTCTTAAAGTTAAAAGATTTCTCTTAAGAGATAAGAGTTAAGAGTAAACGAACATGCCTTAGGTATCTACGGAATGTCTTATCGTGATTGGCTTTGATCAGGTGCTCACACAGTTACACCCTGTGAACAGTCTCCTGCAACCTTGCATTGGGAATATCAATAGTCCCAATGCAAGGTTGTAAAGACTGTTTGAACGAGCATTGCCCTAACCAAACCCGAACACTGTCATATGGCTAATACCAAAGCAAAAAAGTCCTTTACTGCATAAAAAAAAACAAAGAGAAAAAAATAAAGTCCTGTTTTTTCCTTTTTTCTTTTTTTTTACACCATACGACCACCTATCCCTATAATAGGGCTACAAATGATTTGTGTTGTGCAACGACACACTCAAGATTTGGAATTGATTGGTAATAAATAAAGAAATAGAAAGAAAACAAAAGAGCCCGAGATGTTAAAGAACAGAGAGAGATTTACGTGGTTCAGACTTACTGCCTAAAGGGAGTAAAAATCTACTATAATCAACAATGGAATACATGTATGAACAGACTCACTAAACCCTAGTCCCCTTTGTACTCAAACCCTCACTCTCGATTGGTTTGTCTTTTTTCTTGTTATGAGCCATCAAGAACAAGATACTTTATTTATTATATGGGACCCAAATATGTGAAAACAGGTCGGGGATCCCCTCCACATCCACCACAGACCTTAATGAAAATTTCCCTTTGGAATCTTCTCCACAAATGTCATGAAATAGGAATTCAAGACAAATACATAGTAAATTAAATCAAATTGAAAATTGGTAGGTCCAAATTTGATTTGTTTATATTTGAATTTAAATTGAATCTTGTCCATGATATCTATATCACATTTAAATCAAATTTGCATTGCAACTATACATTGCATAAGATTAATAAATTCAATTAAAAAGGGTTCGACTATGATGTCGGAAAGATATGATATTGGAAAAACTTACAATTGGCATCATAAAAGTAGTAACCAATCAGATGGATTTTCACCAAATCCATTGGGGGGTGGGGGGTTGTGATTGGTCAAAGCCTTTCCGATATTATGTCTTTTCCCCATCATAGATTTTCCCAAAAGATGATCAAAATATTAATTGTTAGGCAAAACCTATGGTGCATGAATTGCATCCTGAAACAAAATGTGAACCAATGATAAAACATGTGATACTCGTCTTTAACACTATAAGCCTTGATTGTAAGTGCACCTTATTAATCATGAACTAATGAAAAGTAAATAGAATGCGGCCTTGACATGTCACAAATACTTGTGCATTAATACATTGTAGTTGGGCTTTAAATTAATAAAATGAAGGGAAAATTCCTGATTAGTACCCTATACTTTGGGCCTAGTGCCACTTTGGTCCCCTGAACTTTAAAATGTGACAATTTAGTACCCGAACTTTCAAAATGTGTCAATCTAGTACCTACCATTAACCGGTTGTTAACCAGCCGTTAAATGGCCTTTGAAGAGTGTCATCTAATTTTCTTTATCAACCTTCCAAACATTGACAAAAAATTAACAATCCTAAATCCTTGCCTCTTTTATTCAAAAAAGTTGGGGCCCAAAATGCCCATTGAGATGTGACCCCAACTTTCTTGAACAGAAGCAAGGATTTGGGATTGTTAATTTTTTTTGTCAACGCTTGGATGGTTGATAAAGAAAATTAGATGACACTCGAAGGGTATTTGTGTCTTTTTCAAAGGCCACTTAATGGTTGGTTAACAATTGGTATTATTGGATTGACATGTTTGAAAGTTTGGATACTAAATTGTCACATTTTAAAGTTTGGGGACCAATGTGGCACTAGGCCTAGGGGTGGCAACGAGCCGAGCTTTTCACAAGGTGCTCGATCTCGGTTAGGCTTGGTTTCAGCTGAGCTCGAGCCTAGTTTAGTGGCTCGATAATTAAACAAGCCGAGCTCGAGCCTACTAGAGCTCAGCTCGTGAGGCTTGCGAGCTGGCTCGAATATATATATTTGATATTTAATATATATAATATAATATAATAAAATTATAGAAAATAATATATATAATAAAAATATTATAATTCTTAATTTTTTAAATATAAAATAAAATATATATATATATATAATTTTTATTTTTATAAAATATTTTTTCTAAAATTTTTATAATAAAATATAAAACGAGTCGAACTCGAGCTTATGAATTCTTGACTCGAGTCGAGCTTGAGCTCAATGTTCTAGCTTGAACCGAGCTCGAGCCTAGTACTATTTTGCTTGACTCGGCTCGAATCCACCCCTAACTAGGCCCAAAGTACAAGGTACTAATCGAAAATTTTTCCAAAGATGAATTAAAAATGGTTTTAATATTGTATGTGATGAACAAAATGAATTGAAATAATTCATATGAAACTTGAACCTAGAATAATTTTCACCAAAACATGACATTGAAACAAACTTTAATTATAAATGGATCAAAACATGACATTGAATTCGAATTTGAATTTGGATGAATGGGCACCATTTACAGACCTATTATTATGTATCATATAACATGAGATAAGAATCTAAAACTTCGAACAAACGAACCATTACGATAGTGGAGCATGGCCTAAATCCTTTCCCATCAATAAAGTTACATATAATTGACCAGTAGTATATAGCAATAATGTGATTTGAAGATAGGAATTGTCGGCTCATTTCTTTTCGAGAGGGGTTAGCCCACTTTTTTTTAATGACAAGCCAAACCATGTGGATGGAAAATGAGGATTGCCTAATTCAACCAGTCGATCAACAAATATAACCGGGCAAATTCCGTCCAAAAGGTTGGGCAGAGAAAGGATTAACTGAATATATATCGGCTGTTGGACCACTCATTTTTGCTCTACTACCAGTCATTTGGTCTCAGCCCAAGGCAAGACTATATTTGGATTGATAGAAAATAAGCGACTCTGTTAGGTGGTGTTTGGTGTTGTAACTTGTAAAAGGCAGTTTTGCCATTACATAAGTATTATATAGGCGTTTTCATTTTATCAAACTAAAACTTTATTTGGGTTGATCAAATACAAACGTTTTTGCATCATGTGAGAATTGTTTCTAGTCTAGAGAAAAAAAAAAAAAACACCATTTAAATTGACTATCCAAGGAGCAGGGAGTATAAAACTTTACATTTTGTATGTATTTATATTATATATATTCATATTTGTATTTGTACTCCTTCCAAACTGAGTGTGTAACGTGTAAAATGCCAACAGAAATAATTAAAAGAAAAAAAAAATCAATTTTAACATGCTGACTTGTATCCAAAATGATCTTTTTCCAATACATGAATCAAATATAAACAGTTAAACACAATCCAGTCTGCTGGTTAATTAATTTATTGTTGAATCTGCAGACGCCAATATCAACTCCCCTGTACAGATTGCATTTTGCATTTTGCAACCATCTAATCACGTCTTATCGGGTCAGACCCATTTATTAATGGGGACTGGTTCAGTTCTGAGTCCAAATATTTTATTAATCCGTAGTGATTTGATTTGAATAGACAGTTCATTTTGATAAAATAATTAAAATAAAATGATCAAAACCATTGAATGGGTTAAATGGGACAACGGTTCGATTCTTTGGATTAATGAATGAATCGTTCAATGATTTTTGGTCAAGAATCAAATTTGAGATAAAACAAAATCGATTGCCTGAATGATTTCTGAGCCAAACAATCTGACTGTCTGAATCAACTGTGGTTTGAAAAGCATGGATGATTCCTTTTATGTGTATAATGAATCTTTTCATTCATTCATTCATCCGGCTCCTATAATTCTTTAATATTAAGGGATAAATAGGCTGCATTTCATCTCAAAAATCTGAAATTACATCCCGCTCCTAATCCACTAGTAACCCCCTTATAAATTGCTAATATTAAAGAATCAAAAGAGTCCAATTGGAGTCTATCGCATGAATGAAGATTCATAATTTCATATACATGAAAGGAACCACCACTGATTCATATCTACTCTCCAAAAAAAAAAAAAACTTTATTCTTAATTGAGTCAATGTTTTATATTTTGACCATTCGCTCTTATCCGTGTATGTCAATTAACTATATTAAAATACAAAACCTGATAAATTAAGTGTTTAAAAGATCTAATATTAATTATTTTTGCATAGTATTTTATTACTTTTAGAACAAAAAACCCAATAAATTAATAAACATAAAGGTTTTTTAATTAGATCAATTATAAAAGATTTGACCCCACCATTTTTGCCACGTGGAAGAATCCTATGACCACCAATCTAAACCATATGGAGGACCACCTACATGTGACAGAGTTAAGATCACTAATTCATTATTACATACTATATTTGGGAGAATTGGATATGCTCTCAGCGCGCTTCACACCCATCACCTATGAAATACAATTACACAAATCGTGAGGTAGGTGAGGCTTGTCCTGTGAGGAGCAGATCCGGACGCTATTTGGGAACTTCACTATTTTGCTTGTAATACAAATCATCTAATTAAAGAAATGGAAAAATCTATAATACCAAAAAGGCGAAAAGTATTAACAGCATTGGCCCTTGGGTTGGGCCTGCCCGGGCCTGATAATACTTGTCGGTCAGAACTGGTCCAGGCTAAGCCAGGGCAGAATCCGAGCTAGCCCTATGATTTAATAGTATTTATATTTTAAAATAAAATTTTAATTAATTTTATAATCAAAATTACAAAAGATATATTTATTTTTTTATAAAATAAATATGTGACATATATATTCGGTAAAATATTATGCCATATGTATAAAATACTATATATTATATAAATATATACAATTTCTGGGCTTGCCGGTCTTAGGGCTTGCTTGGACCAGGCCCAGGTGGCAGTGGGATTTTATCCCCCGTCTCTGCTACAATCAACTAGAGATCCCACCAACATCAGTTGGTTGCCACCTGTACTGAGACTTCTAAAAACAATTTGAAGTTCGAAGTAGGTGTTTGGGATCGATGCCATTTCTTCAAAAAAGGGTGCCACATCAGCACTACATCAGAAATTTGTTTTCTGAGAAAACGTCTGCTGGTTGGTTGGCCATTTTTTTGAGAAACGTTTTGTAGATCATGCCTTGGAAATTGGGAAATGTGTGGTCTGAGAAAATGTCCTTAAAGCCCTTTTTAGTATTTTCCCATTTTTTTACTATTGATAGTAATTGTGTGCTGATGTGACATTGGAAAACACCTATGTGGCAGCAACATCAATGGTAATAAATTGAAAACCTGAGAAAAGGTTTTACGAGAAAACAACATGCTTATACAACACTGTTTTCTGAGAAAATGTCTCCTAGGAAACGGCATCGACCCCAAACACCGCCGAACAGATGAAGAATGAGAGAGCAGCTAAGCAGAGAGCTCTCAGATCTCTATTAAATGGAAATGGCAGATTGAAATGGAACCCATGGAAAATATCAATGTTTTAAAAAATGACCCGAAAATAGAACCGTTTTGATCACCGGTTTTCGGATCAACGGTCCGCCCATCCGTCCATTCTGACAGCAAAATTAAAAAAAATTAAAAAATAATTAAGAAAATAAAAAAATGATCAAAACCATTGAATGGGTCAACAGTTCAATCGCCCAGATCAACGATTTGTTGACTTTTTCAACAGTTTTTTACCAGATTCCGGGTTTTGGGTAAGATGGAACCGATTGTCTGAATGGTTCCCGAGCTAAATGGTCCAACCGTTTGGGTCAATGACGGTTCGAAAACGTTGGAAAATATAATTCAAAAAATTTCAAATGCTGATGGATGATGCAAATCTCAGTATTGAACTTTGAGACCAGTAAGGCGTTTTCAAAGCAGTCCGGATCAGGTTGGCACAGCATCGTACGCACGTTCAATGAGCACCTAGAAAATTTTTTGAGACCGAGACCTCAATCCTCCATTATCCAAACCAATGACAATTCAAAGGAGAAAAAAATGCCATTCTGCACCAGCGAATCTATTTAAACTTTGAAGATATACTCAATGATCGGTTCGACAATGGCGTTAGCTTGAGCCATTGGCTTCAAAGGATTTAGGGTTTAATCGTTTGGACAGGGCAAACCAAAGAGAAGATGAATTGGGAAAGAGGATAGAAGAGATTCTTTTGGATCTCTTTTGTTTGTTCAGAAGAGTCGAGAGTGTTTAATTAGATGGGCGTTGTTTTTTTTGGTCTAATTTTAAACCAAAATTACTGAGAGCATAAGCGTTTAGATCGAATTGAATTTTAGCATATTCGAATCCAATCCGATAACGAATCAGATTTTCTAATCCCATTCGATTTGTTTCTGATTGTTTTCATTGTACAAGTGAAATAACACTTTGCCTGAAACAGAAATGCTGCCAAAAGATGAATACCGAGTAAATCAGGGTATGTCTACTAAAAACCAAAAGAAAACATTCTCACTTTTATTGTAGTGGTACTTGTATAATTATACAACAACATTCTTGATTCTTCTGGTAAGTCAGAGACGCACAGTGGTGCAACCTTGCATGGGTACTGGCTACAGCTGAAATGTGCAACGAGAACATGCTTTCAAAACCAAAACACTCGATATATTATCTTCGCCGTCCTCGAGAGTGAGTTGAGTTCTTTCCGCTCATCCCCGACAACTGCTTTAGGTTGGTCAGAGCATCCTGAGCATACCTTTTTGTGTTTACATTTCCATGCTTAAAAGCTTCAACCAAGGCCCTGACCAGAGTCTGATTGACAGAGTGCCGCTGTGCATGGCTGTCCACTCTCAAGACCCTATCTACTACCAAAATTGCCTTATCTTGAAGCTCCCCTGGCCGGACCTCCGTAAATAACTTGATCACAGTATCAATTACACCCAATTCTTCAAGTTCATCAACGGCCCGTTTGAGACCATGAGAAGTCCCAGATGAAACAAGGGTATAAAGCGCCTCCACTGCAGCAATTTGAACACTGGTGTCTTCATCTGCCAGAAGATCAACAAGAGGTTTGATGCAATTACCCTTCAGCAAGCAAAACTGGCTGTCATCCTCACATGCCACATTATGTATGGGACATGTTGTTGGGACCATAGATGCCCTCCCACACATGAACATCAGGGAAAAGCATAACCCAGGTGGAGGCTGGGGTTCTGAATCCCTTATTGCAGCCAATGCCCTTCCAGACTCGGACAAGTACTTCAAACCAAGAGCTGCTCGTTGCTTCATTCTTGAATTCAAGGGAAAGCCAAGCTGCTCAGAGAATATTGTCATCAGATTATGCTCTTGAACCACACCCTGAATTATTGGATCGGAGCTCTTTGAGAAATGCAATAAGATGCCAATAAGGCCTTCCACCATACGTGACGTTGCCCGAGAGGTCCTCTGACTGGAACTACGACGATGCTCTCTGAGAGCGACGACTGTCCATCCAACAAGACTGGTTCCTAGAACTGTTTTCACCTCATCATCAAATAGTGGGAGGTTAGCAAGTATATATGCAGCCTCTGATCTCTCATCATCTGTGCATTCGTTATCTAATAGTTTTTCTTTCAACAATGGAATTTTGTTAGAAGTTCTTAGCCCATCAACCAGGACTTGGCCCAATTTTTCTGAGAGTATTCTTGTAAGCTTAAAAGCACAAATCCTATGGTCAGCTTCTTGGTGTTCCAGAAACGGTATAATTGCCTTGATGCCATCACTGGATTTTATATGTCTAGCTACTCGATCTGCATGAGAGAAATCTTGTCAGCATATAATAAACAAGACAGGGAATAACATTTTAGCACATTCAGGCAGCAATTACGGATCTGGATTACAATAGAATGTTAGAATAACGCTTCATTTTTTGAGCTCTAAGTGGAATTAAGAAACCAGACTTGTGCTGATAAGGTATATGGTGATGACAAAATAGAACACAACATGAAAAATGCAATAAATTGGCCATTACAAAAATGCAACACATGGAACCACCATTCAAGGTGTCCTACCTAAGGCATCTTGTATCATTCTATGTCAGAGTAAAATTAACCTAATTGGGTATCAACCCATATGCCTACCACTAACTTTTGGATGGTCAAAAGTTCTGGCTGAACCAGTTGATTGTTTGACAGGTTGAGATGTCTTAGGTGGAAACCAAAACCAATGTTGAACAGACACGATCATGGGAGTTGGAATCTGACACATGTCCAAGAGTCTGACTCGGCAAAATGAGAAAACATGGACTCACGGGCACATCTATGGATAAGTATATACTATTAAAACAGTTCATATTTTTTGAATTCTAACATTATTAACTGCAAAAAAAGTTGCCTTTGTTAACATTCTTGTTTGACAAATATTGTTATCTAAGGCCCAGTTTGGAAGGAGTACAAATGCAAATATGTAGAGTGCAAAACCTTATATTTTTGTATTATTTGTATGTATTTTCACTATACATATTTGTATTTGTACTCCTTCCAAACTGAGCCCAAGTAACATTGATATGTAACACGACATTCATCTTGTACATTAGATGTTCATTTATGTCAAATAAGTGTGGGGATAAAGGAAATGTTAGATAGGAGCGTCCTCAAGAATCTGTGGAGTGTTATACTCCAATGTGTTTCTGACACACACCTCCATTTGGGAGAGTCCATGCAACAGTAGCAACACTGACCACAACTTGTGTATGCAACACCCAATCTGGAATTTTACATATAAATATAGTTATCTACCATGCATAAACTAAATCAGATTCTTTTAATTATGCAAAAATAGCAACCAGTTAACCAGGTATTTTAAGTTGGGTCAATTGTTTGAAGATGGTTCCCAACCTCAAAGTAGTTCTCCTTCCCTCTTCATTGCTTTTTTTTTTATTATTATTTAATTGATATAAGAAATACATATGAGACATTCTGTTTAGCAGTTCCTCCAGTTTTCTGGAAGGCTTCCAATCACTCCTTAGAACCCTTCAAAATGATCCAACCAAATCTCCTTTCTTCTCTATTTCAATTTCCTTAATTCATGATTTCATCTTTTCCCTTTTCCACTTTGGAAATTTTTCATCTTCTTGTAGAAAATTAACTCAGTGGCCTACCAGACTTTGTTCTCCCCTCATTACAATCTACTTAAACTATCCTACCAAGTTTTATCACTAAATTCTTTCTCTAATCCTCATTTCCAGAATTTCCGGGTTTTCTTTCATGAAGGACTTTCATCTTTTTGACTTTGTGACTAAATTGCTCAAAACCCTTCAAATTAAATCATCCATTCTCAATGTTTTCATATCGAGAACAAATTATCATAGAAAATGCTAATGTTCTATTTTATGGCCTACTTTTCGTAGATTTCACTATTTTCTAGACAGATGAAAAAATAAAACTGGAAAATAAACTATTTTGACCTAAAAACCCTTCCAAGTCAAGTCACATATCCTAGACAGACCTACCTGTCCTACACCACAAGACTTACCAATTAATTATGGAGAATGCTCTTTCCAAGGATGGAATTTTTGGTAGCAGGTTATTGGGGATACTTCTTCTTTTGTACTGGGGTAGTGTGTTGTATTTTGGCTTTTCTCCTCCATCTTTGAACTAGTTATGTCATATGCCCCTCGTCTTTAGTTGGAAAGATGATTGTATGTATCTTTCCATATCTCTGTTGAAACAATTGTGTGTTGTTGGTCAATTTAAATTATTAGCAGAAGAAAAGAGAAGAAATAAGGAAGAAGAGAAGAGAGAGAGAAGAGAGAAATGAGAAGAGAAGAGAGAAAGGAGAAGAGAAGAGAAAGGTTTGGAGAGTTCTAATCTGTCTGGCGGTGCCAACTTATGTTATTATATATAGGGCGACCATAAATAAAAGGGAAAAGACCCTTATGCCCCTATTGTAGTCAAAGTACATAAACAAAGAAAAAAAGGCTATTTTAACCAGACCAAACAGGCCCTAACTAAGCAGAATACAATCATAAATATAAAGAAAAACATTCCAACACTCCCCCTCAAGTTGGGACATAGATGTCAATCATGCCCAACTTGTCACACAAATTACTATGCCGCACATGATGAAGGCCCTTGGTGAAGATGTCTGCAAGTTGTTCTTCTGAACTGACATATGGAGTGCACACTTCTCCACTCACAAGTTTTTCTCTAATAAAATGATTGTTGACTTCAATATGTTTTGTTCTACCATGGAAGATTGGGTTAGCAGCAATGTTGATAGCAGCTTTATTGTCACAATAGAGTGGCATAGGTTTATTAACTACAAAACCCAGCTCACCTAACAGGTTTTTTATCCACATGATTTCAGCAACTCCATGAGACATAGCTCTGTATTCCGCTTCAGCACTGGACCGAGCCACCACCTTTTACTTCTTACTTCTCCAGGTGACTAAGTTTCCTCCCACAAAGGTAGTTTAGTCCATCAAAGGGAATTACAGCCATGGGAAAATCATATCCATACCCCCACTCATTCCGTTTTGACCTCCTGAAATCCCAAAAGTTGCATAATTCTCAAAGGACACGAGTCAAGAACACTTTTCAGTTTCAACACACACCTTAAGATCTCTCCTAATACCCAAAAAGGTTCAAAAAACACACTAGAGATGCAGTTCACATGCACACACTCTGGTCTGGATACAATCTGAACACAGACCAGCTCCAATTCTCTTAAAAAATTTCAGGTTGATTTCAGCACTGCATAAGTTTAACAGTCTCAATCCACCAATTTTCCAAATCACCTAAACACACCAACTACTAGGAGAGATCACAAAGCAGTGAAGTCACACCAAAACTTGGTAAAAACAGGTCATTTGTGACCTACAAGTAACCCATTCTCAGGTACAAGATCACACGATCCACAGAAAGTCCGAACCTCACAATTCGTCTGACAGCATTCAGCAGTCTTGTTTCATAGGGTTTTTCTTGGTACACAACCAAGAGAAAGAAAAAGAAAAAGGTAAAGCAAACTTGTACCAGTCGTAGGTCAACTTCTCTGATCTCAGTTGAAGAAGACAGCAAGGTAAAGAAGAAAGAACTAGTTCGATATGCTCTCTGACCCAGTAGAACCACTCTGATACCATATTAGCAGAAGAAAAGAGAAGAGAGAGAGAAGAGAGAAAGGAAAAGAGAAGATAAAGGTTTGGAGAGTTCTAATCTGTCTGGCGGCGCCAGCTTATGTTATTATATACAGGGCGACCATAAATAAAAGGGAAAAGACCCTTATGCCCCTGTTGTAGTCAAAGTACATAAACAAAGGAAAAAAAGGCTATTTTAACCAGACCAAACAGGCCCTAATTAAGCAGAATACAATCATAAATATAAAGAAAAACGTTCCAACATAAATAAATAAAATAGCTACAAAATAACTAATTAACATGGAACTGATAACATACCTGACGCCTGAGGAGAAGAGGAAATTCCATAAAGGATCTGAAGGACTGCAACCTGACATTTAGGGGAGGCAAAAGATAGAAGCTCCAAAAGATTACAGATGATGGCTTCTGAATGCATCAAATTTCCTTTCTTGTCAGCAGATGCCAATTCCCAGTGCCCTGGATTTGAGACTATGTTTGATATGATTGATGCAGACAATTCCTTCACATCGGACAGAACATCTTGGTTTCTCAAAACAATGTCTGTAAGGGCAGGAAGCACAGCAGAATCAACAAGGATGGTAGCATTATCATCCAGGGTGGATAGATTATACAATGCTTGCAAGCTTGGTTTCCTTTCTCCTGGTCTGGACAGCATATCAACAAGTATTTTAGCACCTTGCCTAGCAATTTGTTCTTTACCACTATTTGTCAAAGTCATCCTTCCCAAAATTGATGTCATATCTGTTCTAACTTCACCGTTACCTATTTCTCAGAAAGGCCATAGGATCAAGTTAATAAAAACACCTGAAAACAACTAAAATACAAATTCCATATGGTTAACAAGAGTAATACAGAATACCTAAAAAATTTAAAAATTAAAAATAAGAAAAGACAAAGGCTCTTTTTTTACAATCAATAACAAAATAGAAGAAAGGGGAAACAGAAGGAGATGTGAGGCAAGCCTTACCACCTAAAAAGAACAGACACAGAGCAGCTATTCCCCCTATACAAGCTTTTTAAAACCCACTAAGCAGAACAGAAACAAAACATCCCCCACAAACAGAAAAATGAAATCCTTGAAAACCACACAACCCATTTCACAGTCAAACATCACCTCCAAATACCTACACAGATGGAAAACAAAGTAAAAACCCCCTCCCCACACCCTGAATAAAAGAATCATCTGCACAGCTCTTTATTATGCCTCTGAAGAAAACAAGGACGGTTAAGCCCCTACCATCCATTTTGTTTTGTTTGCGTGCACAAAACTCAGAACCTGCATTGAAAATTCTAAATTGGGCGTGGGGTGGGGGGAGGCGAGTTCTGACCTGACCAGGACACCTATAATTGAGGTGGGGGGGGAGTTGCGTGCACAACTTGGAAGTTCTTTTTTGATAATATAGCCTTAATAAAAATGACAGTAAATAGTAAACTGTTTATATGTTGATAAAACAAATGCTTTTTCTAAACTAAAACTCTTATATACTGTATAAAACCTACCTTTTAAACATAAGATGTAACAAAAACTACAAGAAAACCATGATGCATTTATATATTATTAATTACACAATCAGTTCTGGTCTTAATTGGTTTGGAAAAGAAAAAAAAAAAAGTCCCTGACCCAATTATAATTAGAACACAAAACTCAAAACCAGAACCGGTATAATTGGTTCAGTTCTATCAAGTAGACCCAACTCACTGACAGCATTAAGTTCTTCAGTTTGGTGGATAATCTCGACCTCTTGGTTTCAAGGCAGTATGTCATCCATTTGTGGCATGGCCCCCATCCCAGTGTATATTTGAACTACTTTAGGGTGGTAGAAGTAATTAATCACATAGAGCTTACCTTTGCATAGTCGAGTAAGTAAAGGTTGAAATCTTCCTGCTGCTGCTAATGACTCAACATTATCCTCAACTTTTTCCATCCTCTTCAAGATTTCCTCAGCTAGATTAGATAAACCAGGATGCTCCAGATTACCAGCCATGCTTGAGAGGACAACTAGGGCCCCTTTCTCTGATGCAATTTTTACACAACAACTTTCATCATTTGAAAATTCCAGTAATACTTTCACCGCATATTCTCTCTCTTTCTCTGACCTCCCAATAAGACTACGTATAGCCAATCTAATGGTACCTTCTTCTAGCATTTTTACCTAAAAAACCAAAATTTTATCAGAACTTGGTCACAAGGATGCCATCCATAAATTTCATATATTAATTCTACAATACGAAAATAAAGTATAACAATATATCTACAATGTTCAATTTGATGAAATTAAGAAACAAACACTTGAGCATGGATGGCAATTTTGACAAACATTTAGGCTGGTCCCATGTCAATTTAATCAGGAAAGAAAAATATCTATACATTAAGGTTATAACTACTGCAGCACCATAGGTACCATTGGGTTTGCAGTAGCCATGTTTTGTCGATGAAACTATCAAATAATTTATGCAACCTACTAGCCAAAGGGGAAAAAAAAAGATCCTAATGTGCTCATCAATTTGACTTCTCTTGAAAGTAATTTTAGTGTTATATGAATAGAGATAATCTAAAGGAACAAAGTAGTTTAAAGGTCATATAAGAGAGCTCATTAGATAGATTATTTAGTTATCCATCCAATGATACCAAGATCTTACATATCTGACATATTTTGAGAGAGTTATGGTATTTTAATGACAGGGTATCAATTTTTTATAGGATTTGAGTATTTCTGAACTTCTAGCATACCTTAGATTTGCTTTTTTGTTTGCTTGGTGGTGGTAGAATTAGTAGTGGGTATTTAGAGTTATTTTTAGGAAAGAACTTCCTTTTTAGATCTAGTTCCCATTGATGGAAATTAGGATGCTTATGCGCTCTCAATTTAATGCTAATAAAATCCATTTGATCTGGCTACCAAAAAAAGCAAAAATATTTTTCCATAAGATGTAATTTTTCTTTCATTTTACTTTACTCTTTGATTCTTTCATGCTATATAACATTTAGTGTTAGTTAATTGGTACTTCAACTAGGTAAACTAACTCATAAAAGCACTAGACAAACAAGTTGAAACTAACTGGTTTAAAAATTAAAAAAATAAATAAAAAAACACTTAAGAAGTAGCTACACAGGGACCTAATTGCCTAGGCAAGTTGTTCCCCCATCACCTAGCTTCACCTTAGCTAATGGCTTATAAGCAGTTTTAAAACTTAATTCAAAGCATTAATGTCAATTTTCATCATTGCAGACCCCCCCTCCTGTAAGTCTAGGAATACGTGTCATATTTCTGATTTTCATGATAAATAAGACTAATGTATGTATCATCAACCACAAATGGGTGATGATGGAGAGAATGGAAAGCACTGTTAGATAAGCAATTGGAAGTGGTTTGTGGGTCCTTGAGGTCAACCAAGGGCTATCAACCTATGTATTTTTCTTGAAATTTTACCTAGACATTGATATTTTTATGTGTTATTTCTCTCTTGTGTAGCTGCTTCTCTTCAACATGTAAGGTATTTGTGTCCCCCCCCCCCCCCCCGTGTAGGTTCCTTTGGATTATTAATAAACTCCTTTTTCTTAAAAGAAGTGTCATCAACCAAAAAGAGAAAGATAATGGGTTTTTTCAGTTGCAGACCCCTCCAATGTAGTAATTGACCAAATCCTATAAATAATTACTAAAGCTAGAGTAATTGTAGGTTATCCTTCTCCTTCTTCTATTTTTCTTGCACTCTATTGCAATAGCCTGCCCATGCTACAGATATAAACTTGGTTATTGATGAAAAAATTTTGAATGGTTGAACCTAAGGATCCATCACAATTAGATACATTGTAGCAATTCACCAAATCCTACAAATAATTACTAAAGCTAGAGCAATTTTAGGTTATCCTTCATTCCTTCCCCTCTCTTCTATTTTTCTTGCACTCTACTGCAACAGCTTGCCCATGCTACAGATATAAACTTGGTTATTGATGAAAAAATTTTGAATGGAACCTAAGGATCCATCACAATTAGTTACAGTTAATGGTTGATTTCCTTTACTTCTTTATCCAACATGCATAACATACCAGTCCATGATACACTATGGAACTGAAAATTGCCCAACCTAGAAACTCTATGGGACTGCAAGAAAAAGTTTATTTTTCTCATCTGCCCCTTATAGATGGTCAAAACCTGCAAATAATTTAAGTGGTTTTGTCAGATACCAACCTGATCCTAGTTCTGTTCATTTTACTCTTTTTTATTCAACAAAGTTCCAAACTATTCGACCTTGAAACTTATAATTAGCCCATAAAACCTATTTCAGTACTTCCCCTTTCCCTCCATTCAAAACCCCAACTTTGTAAAAACAATTCCACAATCCCCAAAGCTGTCATTATCACATATCCAACCCCGATGTTGGATCTTTCAGTTCTTATCCCCTCAAATCTCCTCATTAGATGTTTTTATATAATATAAGTATATTCATTAAAAGAAAAGAAAAAAAAAAGGAGAGAGTATACAGGCTTTGCAGCCCAAGCACCCCACAAGAGACACCTCCAACATTCAAAAAAAAAAACACCATGTAGAAAGCATCCAAGTATCCAACCAACTGCAATTGCCAAAACTGGTGTACTTTATGCAGAAGAAAAGACCTTTCTTATGTTTATCCCCTAACTGGTGTACTTTACGCAAAGTGCAGAATGAGGACTGTTACCACTTATTGATTTCCGTCCATTTGCTGCAGCCATTTGGAATTGGTTGTTGATTTGTTTGAATGCAGGTGGAACTTGCCAGCTGAGGTAAATTTGCTGTTTTCTCCATCTACCTTTGTGTGGACCACAAGAAGAGGGAGAATTATGTTAAAGTGTATAAGAGCAAATCTCTTTGGACTATTTGGGAAGAGAGAAATTCCAGAATTTTTCAGGAGAAGGAAAGAACCATTCTCGAGGTCAAGGAGTGTATATTGACAAGGACTATTTTGTGGCTGAAATCCTTAATGCTCTTTGAAAATTACTCCTCCGATGATATAATGAGGAATTGGTCTGTAGCTGCCCTCACTTCTTCTTAGAAGCCTAGAATTCAAGTAACTTGGACTCCGCCAATGGAGGGTTTTGTTAAGATGAACTTTAATGGGAGTAGTCAGGGTAATCCAGGACTGTATGGTATTGGTGATGTACTGAGAAATGAGAACAGCAGCATTCTTGCCCTTTTTTCGGGACCGGTGGGAATAGGAGACTATGTGAGGGCTGAACTCCTAGCTGCGGCACAGGGGATACAGATTGCTTATCAACTTGGAGTGCAGAACTTAATAATTGAAGGAAATTCCAAGGTGGTAGTAGGATGGTTGCCTAACCCGGGTACTGTCACTTGGGACTTTAAGGATATTTTAAAAAAGGTTTAATGGCTTTTGAGGAATATGACAATAAATTTCAGTGGGTGGGTAGATTGGCTAATGCCTTGGCTGATTATCTTGCTAAACAAAGGGCTACTCGGGTTTCCTTGTATTGGGCTTCTCTGTAATTTTCTTTGTCCTTTGTTCTGTTTATTAACTAAAGGGTTGATGGTATCCTCCACCTCCCCTTCTTAAAGGGGAGGTAGCATCTCATGCCTCTCCCTAAAATGTACTCTCTTTGGCTATGAATTAATAAATCTTACAATTCACTGATAAAAAAATATCATTTCCCAATAAATCTCTAAGACAAAAAGACTACAACAAGGACCTTCTCTAAAAAAACACATAAGAAGACAAAGATAGGCCAACCCCAAAAAATTGGACTAGATACAACTACTTATCTACCACTAATCAACTGACTCAACACACCAAAAGCATTACTGACCAAACACAAACAAAATATTGATGTAACCAACAAAAACACTCGTGAAAGACAAAATCCAGCCTGTCTATACATCCTACAAATCATTAAGATCATTTTCAGAATGAAAACCATCTTCTGAAATGTTCAACCATCTGCACCTAGAATTCTGAATTTGTGAGTTAATTAAATTTTCCTTGACAGCCCTGATTTTGTGTAATCAGTGTTGGTTCTGTGCTTTTCCTTTTTCTGAAAATATTCATTAAAGCTGCAAAAGAATGCAGATAAGGGGATGCATACTGAACGAAACAAGAAAAAAACTATTAAGTCATCAGACAAGAAACAGTGGAAAGAGGAAGAGCTATTACCAATAAAGGTAACCTTCCAACATCCCTTCTGCCTAGATCATCAACCACAAAATTCAGATCCCTAGGCATACACCTCAAGGATAAATAAAATGATTCATTCTGCTTCATCCCCAGTGATGGGGATCAACCTAAGGCATATCAAAAGAGAACCAAAGCCGCTCATTATGAAATACGTGGGGCCCACATGGGAGATGGGTTATCTGTGCATCAACTTGGGAAGACCCTAGAGTCTTCAATCCACCTTAAATTTTTGTGTGGTTGAGCTTGCTGCTGGACAGGACTTATTTGGTTTTCTTACATTTCTGGAGAGCAAGGGTACTTTTGTAATTGTTCATGTTTAGTGGGTTATGTTTGGGAACAGGTCTTAGTCTAGTAATTTCCCTTTGTTTGGCTTTATGTTTGTAATTGTTTGGGGCAGGTTTAGTCTAATCTTAGCTTCTTTTTGTAAGTGGCTTGTTGGGCAAGCTAACTTAGGGGGCAAGTTTCTTCCTTTGGAAGCTTCTTCTTATTAAGCTTGTAAGGCTCATTTGGAAAGAGAGTTTTGGCTGATGAACAAAGAAGGTTTCTCTATAGATTTTGGTGTGATTGCCAAGTTGGGGTGTGATTTCCCTCACCCTTAGGTGTGATTGGCTGATTGCCTATGGTTATCTTCTTTCTTTTAATCTGATATTTGTTTCTGTTCTGCACACCTACAACCCGAGTTTAATTGCAAGAATAGTGCTGAATAATAAAGGTCCTGCATCACCCAGTCTTTCAAATCTTCAATTAAGGAGTTGAAATGGTGGGATAGGATTTGAAAGAAAACACGGATCTTGATAGAGCATAATGGTGTCATGGGATTCATGTAGCTCCAAATCAAACTCCCAAGCCTCCACAATTTCCATCTAGTCGGTAGATGAAAGAGAACGTGACTTCCAAAGACCAGCCATTAAGACTACTGATTGTTCAATGCCTCCAGCCATCGATAACTTGATCAACACCACTTGCTTTGATTTATCAATAACCAGAAGAAAAAAGGATTGAAATAACACCATTTATCTTAAGAAACCTACAGGTTTCAACTGTGAAAATTGTTATTTCTTCAGATCAATGAGGTAAATTAGATTTCCAATACTTCAGCATAGCATTTCCTAAGCATGATTATCCAATCAATTGAATGATCAAGCTGCATAAAGACCTAGAGGTCAACATCCTCAAACTCAAACAAAGACCATATACCAAAAAGGTATCATCATAACTGCTAAAACTTGAAGATGAACTTTTTTCCAACCAGAGTAAAATACTCAAGTCATCTTTCAAGAGACATGATTCTCTGATAAACATTCACTTGATGATCATTTGCTAGTTAATAAAGATGCTTTTCAGAACTGCAATAGCCATTTGCACTTCTGACCAATATATTCTTTTCAGCCCAAAAGTAGGGCCAAAAATCAATATAGAAATCAATAATCATTTTGGTTGCTTGTAGAATGCTATATTGACCTTGTAGTGGGCGAATTGAACTTATTGCCTATGGTCAACAAATAAGTGGGTCAAATAAAGCTTGTTATGCTTTGGCTTAGCTACAACAGAACATTGTAGTCATATTGCACCACGTGATGAGAATGAGTGTACCAGCTTCAAGAAATATGGTCATAATGGACATTGTTGCAAATTATGCACATTAACACCTTTGTACAACTCAAAATCACAAAAATATTTTCTTTCAGCTATCAAGATGCTTTCCAATTATATATTTAAGATGTGGAGCTCAAGTGTGTGCACACGTAAGAGGTTTGCTGAAACTATAACATCTGATGCTTCACATTTGTAATAAGTGCTAAAATGGATTGGTAATGCATTTACAAAATTTTATTATTTGTTTTTGTTTTCTAGTTGGTATACCAGTAAATGATATTTGTCAATTTTCAACTTTCATAGATGTTATATTATAAAAAACCATGTTCAGCTTCTATGAGCATGTTCTCCATATGCCAAATAGAACTAAAGAGATTAAATGTTTCAAAGGAAGAACAAATGTACACACCTTGCTGTCTTCATCTTTGGCCATGCTAAGTAAAGCCATAAGAGCTTTGCTTCTCAATTGCGACCCAATATTTTTTGAACTGTTTTTCAACATATTAATGATGAGAACAACAATGCCTGCGTCCCTTATTTTGTATCTACTTGATGGGTGCTCTTCAGAGATCTTATATATATTATCCAAAACCCGTTCGATGCAGTCTGCTGAAGGAAGAGAACCCTCACTAAGAAGCTGCACAGTTGATTTAATTTGAATGTCAATGTTCCTAGTGATCCATTCCTCAATTGCACCAGCAAGACCAATATTTGGCTTCTGTTCCAATGAATTGAGGACCTGTCCAGTAACAGGACATGTTGGATCACGTCCATCTTCTATACACCGCTTAAACCAATATTCGATTGCCGTCCTTTCATAAGTCTGAGAAGATTCCAGGACGACAGGGTCCTTCATGACTTCCTTTGTCAATGGACAGATGAAGTTCTTGAAGGGTGGAATATGTACGTCCTCTTCTCTATCAAATTCCAAATTTTGCCCAGTAATGTCTGGCTCCACAGACCAATTATCAACAATTCTATCCAGAGACATCAAAATCCGTCTCTCGGAAACAGAATTTGAGCGGGCAACATCGTTCTTCAAGAGTTCGATCTGCTCTGCTAGCCCACCGTGGTCTCCAGGCTCAGTTCCTAGTGCACGAGCTAAATCCATGATTATAGCACTCTGTACTGCTTTGCTTGTTTGTCTACCTTGCCCTTCTTTCTGTAAGGTGCAGAACACCCTCTCTTCGTTCTCCGTCACCTAATTGAAGCCTCATATATCTCAAATTCTTCCACATGGAAAAAAAAAAGAACAAATAATCGGGGAATTAAAAAAGAACTGAGGGAAAATAGAACATACTCTGAATTGAGGTTGCTTCATTTCCCTGGAGAGATCGGAAACCTTCTTACGGAGGTCTGGGTTGTCGATAAGAGCCGACTCGAGCAGGGCTAGCCATCCTCCAATCGCTATCGAGCACTCGTGGAGAGATGCGCATAGGGGTTTGCAGTGGATTAGAACAAAGATTTTGCTTTTATTCCGATAAACTGATAACGTCTCCGCGGCTTTCTTCAAATCTCCTGCGATCCCTTTCAGTGAAGTTTCCACAGACGGGGAGAAGGTTTCCTGCGAAGACCTGGTGAAGTGATTCAAAACCAACTGAAGCCAACTGGTATACTCGGAAAACCGCCTAGGGATTTCCCAGAAGTAGTTTTGGTCCGGGTCGCAGATTTCCGATAAAGAGCGCTGGATGGACTGTACTGCCGGTGCCGGGGAATCAGGTTTCGAAATCATTTCAGGACAGGTTGACGGCGACGGAAGATAGGCATGTGTGTCAGATAGCAGGATGGTGGTCAGGTAAGTACTTACGTATTATCGGCAATCGAGGATTTGATGCGCATCTGCCATGGAATGGCGAAGCTCTTGCTTTTGATTCTTTGAATTCATTGCATCTTCTTCGTCACCGCGTTGAAGCTATCGGAGCAAGAATCAACGTTCTTGACATGGACTTTGACCAGCGTCGAACAGATGATTTGGTAAATTGCTGAAACCTACCTAAAATGTTTTATTATTTTGAAACATACCCGAGAAGCAATCAAAGGGGAGCTTTCTATAATACCGTACATGTGTTTGGAAGCGTGGGCATTTTTTGGAACCGATTTTTAAGAAAAAACGTGCATGCTTTCAATACCCGTTTCTTACAAAAAAACGCTTATGTCACATACCTAGTAAGCAATACTATGTTGTTTGGTAAGATGATTTTCATCATCATTTTTCATCTATGTGCCGATAGGTAAGCACTATATAGGATACACATCAGTCAACCCGTTGGGGGAAGCGGTTCACCGATGCATGAAATGCCAATATCGATGGAGTCCCAACTTTCGAGGCATGCCCGATTTTTTAATAATCGATTGAACCAAACAATGAGATACATGGGCATTTGTTGAAACGCCTATGTGGATCCGATGTGGCACTGCTTTTCTTTTAAACAATCACGGTTTCAAACATCCCCGTAAGCGCTGATGTCATGATCTCAACATTGTAAATACCAAAATTGCCCTTACATGTGTGGTAATTGGTAAATGGTACAATGAGGATGAGAATAGAGTAGATGTGTAAACCAGGTTAGGCCCGCCCGCGGCCCAACACGGCTTGACACAAAGTTGGATCAACCTAGCCCAGCCCGACACAGAGCCCGGCCCGGCACGATAGCCCACGGGCTGTGTCAGGCTTTGCCACAATGGTCCGGCCAGCACAGCCCGTAGCAGGCCACGCTCGGCCCGTCCAAAAACTAGTCATCCCCCCCCCCCAAGTCCCAAGTCCCCCCAACGGCAAGTTTCAACCTTTTTTTTGGGGGGGGTTTACATAAATACCCCCCTAACAGCTATAAACAACTATATATGAGGGGTATTTATGTATTTTACTTATGGAGGGGAGAAAATGACACAAATGCCCCTCAACAGCTATATAACAATTAGTTTGGGGGGGGCTTTTTTGGTAAAGTTATAAATAACTTTACAATGACCAAAATACCCCTCCCAACAACTAAAAAATAGTTAGTTTTAGGGTATTTTGGGCAATTGAATTATTTCCAATTCCTATAAATAGCCCTACGGCCCTTATTCTCCACCATTCTTCTCATCACACCAATTCAACAATTCTCTTATTCTCTTAATCTCTTCAGTCTTCCCTCTCTTAGTCTCCCATACATTCTCTACAATCTGAGTGAACTCTAATAGTCTCAATGTGTCATAGTCCGATTGGCTGATTGTTTGATTCTCCAAATTAGCAATTTGGGAGGCTTGGAGTCTTGAACATTGTCACGTTGAAAGGCTTTAACCGTTGAAAATTGAAATCAAGTTGGGATTTTGAACCGACAATCTGGGGAAAGTCCAATTATATTAATTTTATTTTTTAGAATTTAAAAAAAAATGGCCAGCTCTTCCCAAAACCCTAAGTTTAGTAGCCCGATTTATAAAATATTTAAAATAGAGGATGTTGAGGGGAAGGGTAAAAAAACAGTTTGCCAAAAATGTAGAAAAGAATTTAGCTATTGTAGCAAGGGTGGTACTAGCCATTTGACAAGACATTTTCTCACACATGAGAAGGAAGAAGAAATAGCCATCAATTTAAATGAATTGTTGAAATAATGGAAAATAAATTTTAAAAATATTGGGAGAAGTTGGAGAACATTTCTCGCCGTCAATCCCGCCATGGCACATGATCCGTGATCTACTAACCCCTCTGGTGTCTACAAGCTATAGTTCCATCGGAGTCTTGTTTATTGCTTTAGTGTAGGACCAACAGGTACCATTATACCAAGGTTGGCTAGATGCAGTCACGGATCATGATGGAGAATATAGATTACAACTTTACAATTACAAGACAAAGGAGAGCATGATACTACTACATACACCAGATATTTCACCTGAAGCAGATGATAAAAGTGTGAATGCTTTCATCATAATGTATATGTAAAATTTGTTTAAATTGAATTTGATTGGTCAATTGGATTTGATTGGTCAATTACATGAAAAAAATACACCTACACACATGTTTTGAAATATAGTTTTTCTCTTATTAACTAGTTTTTAACTTATCCCACATTGGAAAATTACAAGAATTGTTTTGGGATTTTTAATAGGAGTTGATTTACACTCCCTAGATATAAAGAGGAGAGTATGGAGTAGGGGTGATCATTTTGGCCTGGAAATTTAGGGACGGGCTTAGGCTTAATACTTCAAGTCCGGCCTGGGCCTGGCCCGGCCCGCGTATATTTAAACTTACACATTTTGGGTGTAATGTTTTATATATGACTAACATTAGCCCAGAATCAGGCTCGGGCTCGTATAGACCTGGACTAGGGCCTATGTTTTAGGCTCGAAACACCGGGCTGGGCCGGGCTCAGGCCTAAGCTATAGCCCTTATCATAAGTGCAAAGCCTGCCCCATGATCACCCCTAGTATTGGAGGCTTGCTACTACACAATGCACGTGCACGCATGTGCGGCGCAATAAAGTGCACCTTGTTCGCACCTGCGTGGCTTGCGAAGGGCAGCTTTAGCTTTTGGTGTGAGATTGACCATTGATGTAATCAACGACCACGATTTGATCAGGTGTGATCAAGAGGCATCATTCAAAGTTAACAATCATTAATTGTTAACTACCTTTAATTGTGACTATTCAAAGAGCCTTTTCTGAACCAGCACCTTCCTCTACTCCATGACTCTTCATAATGTATTTAAGGAGGGTGAATCAAGCATTTGCACACACAATTTCAAAAATCACTTTGTCTCACTCTCAGTTCGGTCTGCTACTATCTTACAGAAGGTTTCTTTGGAAACTCTTCAACTTTGCTAGTTGCAGATTCTCGCCCAAGGCTCTGTTGTATCCTATGAACGAATTTACCTATAACCCAATAGCAAACTCAATGGAACTGAGTAGGGGCAAATAACGTTCTAAAGACAGTGTCTTCAGACACACCTTAGAGTTTTTCCTCCCAAATTTTGGTGACCTCATTTTCCAACAACTTTAGAACGTTATTTTGCAATGGAGGCAGAAGCAAGCATGACCTCGATCAAGATGATGAACCAAGATCTTATTTGACTAGACCATTTCGATGGAGCAAACTTCAATTGATGGCAAGACAAGATGATATTTTTTCTGACCACACTAAAACTGTACTATCTCCTAGATCCGGATCTGCAACCACTTCTTGAACCCACTGACAAAGACTTAGATAAGCTAAAGAATGAAAAAGCAAAACGAGAAGAGGATTCACTTCTGTGCCGATGACATATACTGAACACCTTATCAGACCGACTCTACAACTTCTATAAGGAACTTACATCTCCAAAAGAAATCTGCAAGGCTTTGAAATTCAAATACAAGGTGCAAGAAATAGGTACGAATAAGTATCTTATCGTAGAATACTTTGACTTCACCATGAATGACTATAAGCCCATACTGGAGCAAGTTCACGAACTATAGGTGATAGTCAATAAAATCCGAACCATTGATATCATTCTTCCTGAATCTTTTCAAGCGAGAGCAATAATTGCCAAACCTTCACCCTCTTGGAATGATTATAGGAAGAAGCTTCTGCACAAGGTTGAAGAACTTACCTTGGAGCAAATTCAGCAACACCTTCGTATTGAAGAAGAGTCCCGGATTAAAGATAGTAGGGATAAGACCCTAGCCGGTATGCTGAACTCTAAGGTCAATTTTGTGGAAAATGGATCGAAAAGACTAATCCTGCATTACAAGTAAAGAAGATGATGGAAACTTCAGGAAGAGCAAAAATAAGAAGGGATCTTACTATGTTTATGGAAAGAAAGGGCATTATGCCTGAGTTTTCCGACATCGGAAAAGTGGAACCGAGTCTGCAAACTTGGTGGAAGACAATCTGGTGGCCATGATTACTGAAGTTAATATGACATAATCGTCTTATGGACGGTGATTTGATTCAGGCACCACAATCCATGTTTGAAATGACAACTTCTTGTTCAAAACATATGAAGAAATGACTGATGGCCAGGAGGTACAAATGGAAAATCAAATATGTTCCAAAGTTGCTGAAAGATGTAGCGTGGAATTGAACTTCACCTCTAGAAAGACACTGACTCTTCTAAACGTTCTCCATGTTCCCGACATTAGAAAAAACTTGGTCTCAATAAATCTCTCAATGTTTTCGACAAACTAATAATGTCCAAGAATGAGATGTTTGTTGGAAATGGATATGATTGTAATGGTATGTTCAAATTGAATATTAATGAAGGAAAATGTTCTACTTATATTGTTGACTCTTTCTCTTTATGGCATGATAGATTAGCCACTTGAATTTTAAATCCATAAAAAACATGAGTATACTTGGTTTATTTGCTTATAATAATGAATTAAATGAAAAATATGAGACGTGTAAAATCTAAAATGGCCAAAAAACTTTTCCCAAATATTGAGAGAAATTCTCAACTTCTAGAACTAATTCATTCTGACATTTGTGAATTCAGTGGTGTGTTAAGTATAGGAAGTAAGAGATACTTCATAACCTTTATAGATGATTTTTCTAGATACACCTATGTCTACCTTATGAGAACTAAGGATGAAGCCTTTGACATGTTTAAACTATACAAAACTAAAGTTGAAAATCAATTAGAAATGAAAATTAAAATCCCTAGAAGTGATAAAGGTGTTGAGTACTTTAAGATTAAGTTTATTTCTTTCTATAAAGAATTTAGAATAGTACATCAAAGTTCTGCTCCCTATACCCCTCAATAGAATGGATTGGCTAAAAGGAAAAACATAACACTTACAGAAATGATAAACTATATGTTGATGAAAGCTAATGCACCCTTAAACTTGTGGGGGGAAACACTCTTAACAGCCTGTCATTTACATAATAGAATTGTTTCTAGAGTTAATAACAAATGTCCATATGAATTATGGATAGGAAGAAAGTCTAACTTAGCATACCTAAAATGTGGGGGTATTTAACATATTGTAGAGCTTCAGATCCTAAAAGAACCAAGTTAAGACTCAGAGTAAAGAGAAGTATGTTTG